AGGTTGCCCAAGGAAGTTGTTGATGCCCCCAACATTTTTTAAATGGCTAGTTAAATAACCCAACATTTTTTAAATAGCTAGTTAAAAGTATGGCTAAGAACCATTCATGTGTCTGATTAGAATTACTATTTAGTTTGTGCATGCAGACTGATGAGTGAAAAAACTGCTTTGAGATGCCAAAAAGCAGAGAAACTTTATTTACAAATTTAAAATGTTAACCAAATTTACATACAAAACTTTTAGTAAGAATATTTAACATTTGCTGTTACAAGTTACCTTACTAACTAGAAATGATACAGTCTAAAGATTTCACCTAATTCAGCAAGGACTGATTAAGAAGCAAAGAGCCAAGACTGACAGATTTTAAACCTTGGACACCTTTATTCCCCATATAAAAGAAATTGCAGTATTTTTAAACTTACCATTTTTGTTCATATCCCAGAAGACACAAGTAGGCTTAGGATCTTCCTAAGAACACATAAAAAGTAGACCTTTTATACCTCTTGAGACATAAATCCCATCAACATATACATATGATATACAAAAGGTATTTTACTGCATATCTTTTCACTTAGTAAGCAGAAGAATAAACATTATTTGGACTGTTGAAATTTTGTCTTGTGTCAAATTAGTACTTACTCAGCTAGGAAGACAGATCTGCCCAGATTATAAAATCTAGAGCACTGTTCCTCTGCACCATTCCTTTTCCACATCCTCAGAATAATGAAGTTTTATTGTCTTGCTAACTTTATCCATGAGTATGATGTCTTTAGAGAGTCTAAAGTGGAGTTTATTTTGTGACTTTACAATAATCATTATAATGAAATGTAAGGTAAAGTTAATTGAACTGTGAAAATTATGAACCAGATTCTCATTACATAAACATTTTACTTAGGTATTACATTTTAACCTCTTCTTTCTTAACCTCTCTAGTGCTATTGTCTCTGTTGGAGTAGCTACAGACAATGTGTCTGAGGACAGAGGCAAGCTCATATGTTTTTTTAACTGAAACAGTATGTGCCAAAAGGTTGCATTTGGTCTGTATTTCCCTAAATGAATTGTAGTCATCTTTTAACAACGTGGTTCTGTCCATTCTTCCTTTGCTGAAAACCACATAACAACAAAATAACTTGGGGAACTATTAACAAAGCAATTCATGCTTGATCAAAGAATTTAAATAATTCTAAAGTTCCACTGTAATAAATTCTATCTCTGGTCACTGGTCACGAACATGGTCATAAACAAAGGCTTTGCCTACAGTTACTGGCACAGAAATTGTCTCTGAGTGGCAGAATCAATAGTCTTTCAGACAAATGTTAGATTGTGAATGGAGTAAGAATGTGTGAGGATGGGAGAGGTTATTTGTTTTTACTTCTTGCTTACTTGCTTTTGTTCTAGAGTTTTTATTTCCACTTGAGCTTATGTTTTTGCTCAAAATCCATCCTAATCAATCAGCCGATATGCTCAGCCTTTATTATATACTACTTTACTACGTATTTCATATATATATATTACTATATATAATCTGCATTCCTGTTCCTCTGAATAATCAGTCTTGTCTTACCTGAATTTTGGTATGCTTAATTGTAACCTTCACATAATCCTGAAGATCCTGAATGGTTATATTTCCAATACTGCATGCCACCACAAAACTAGTCAAATTGGCAGGATTTTCTGCATCCTTTGAAAGATTCAGAAAAATACAATAAATGCTTACACAGCACATAACATAAAAGCCAGAGTACACAGTTTCATTTTTGCAGTGTGCCAGAATAAATAAGTTGTCAGCATTTCTACACTTTTGATCATGCAATATAAGAACATTATGTTTATAAAATCAAATTACAGGTTTGCCTCATGGAAGTTTCCCTATTTTCCTTATAATCATAAACATATATAGGCACAACTATAGAGAGAGGTCAGAAGGCATAAATTCCCCTTTTAATCATTATGTCTGATGCCAACAAAATTATAACTCAAACAATGTAGCAGATAACAACCCGTGATACGATTAGCTCATTTCCCTAAACAAGAATGAACTAGCTTTCTTATCTATTGTCAACACTGTCCTTTTAATAGACAGAAAGTTTTCAGAGAATAACCTGTTTTCTGTGTTTAGTTGCTTAATCGTTCTCTATCTTAAAATGAATGACTAAGTAGTAGTAAACAAATACAAAGCAATGTTACATACTGTACGAGACAATATTTTCTGCGAGGTCTTATTTGACAGGAATTTAAATACAAGACTGATGTTATCACTGAGCAATGTCATTTCTAACCTGCAGTGAAAAAGTATCAGGTTGAGAATTTTCCAAAAGATAAGTTTTCCTTGGAAACTGATGATTTCTTGAAATGTAAATACTTTGGAAATACTGCTTTTATTTTCATGAGCTTCTGTTGAAACCTTCATAGTTGCATGCCTGGCTGGCCTTGTGGGAAGCTGTGAAGCTTGGTCACTGCCTGCGACAGATCTTGGGTTAAATGATGTCTATTGCCACTCACTTTCCCTCCAAAAATCTGGGCTGCCAAACTCCTGAACCCTCCTGATTCCTTCAGTCTAGGGGTTTTGTTAGCCTGGTAAGATGTCTGGTATTAGCTCAGCACTGGGCTCATGAGATCCCACCACTCATGTATTAAGTGCACATTATCCTGAGAAGAATATTTAATTTCATAAGAACCATACCCAAGAGTTTTCAAAAACACGGTGTTTCAGATTATACTGGAGCTTTGTGACATGATTTCCTAAAAACTTAAAAATTGCACAGGAATGAAAATGCAGTTTTCTAGACAGTTCTTGAGCATTCAAACAAGAGAAAATGTCTTGGCTACCACCTAAATTTCAACATCTGACAAAGTCTAGGAAAGTGTTTGGACACATTTCTATGGGTTCTGGTGGATTCTGCCTCTAGTAGATAACAAAAACTAGAAATAAATATCAGATGATCTCTGTAGGAAAGGCAATTTAATATAGTCTTACTTGTCGCTAGAAAGGAATACAAATAATGTATGCATTAAAGTAAAATACAGGTAACTGCTTATTTAGCTATAAGGTTGTGCTCACCTAAAGTTAGGGGTAAGTTTTTAGCCAATAAACTATACAGAGGTACAAAGTAAAGCAATGCTGAGGCTAGCGTCAACGACAGAAATCTGGTCTAGTCTAGGCAATCATTACAATTCGCATATTTATCATATTTGCACACTATTCTCATGGCCTCAGAACTCAGGATGATGATCCTTCCAACCAAACTTTAGACATGCAAAAATAAGATGTCTAGAACTGAAGTAGCCATTCTAGAGTTTCTTAACATAGTCAGTGAAAGGAAACTGGCACATCCAGGGCATATATCTAGGTCGAATATGGGCTGCCTAAAAATAAGTGTTCACTTTAGAAGCAATAAGGTGTACTGCTCAGCCTCTAACTGCTACTGCAGAAGATCTCACATCTCTTACAGGTTCATTGTCATATCTGTCGGCCAGTAGTCCTCTGTATGATGTTTCACCGTTATGTTGAATGCTTATAAGAAATACAGTTAATAGCATTGGGAATTTTTAATTGTAATTGGAATAAATTTATTTATGAAATACTTTTATACTAATGGATAAAGTTACTGGGTTTGAAATAGCATGTGGATCAATTTATTTTTAGGCTTTATTTTTAGCCTTTATTTATTGTTTTTTTTTAGACTTACTTTATTTTTAGACTGACTAAAATGTGAATTTTACACTTTTAAAATTAATTTTGGTGAACATGTTACCCATAAATTGTTTGAAAGGCAAATTAAAAAATGGAAGGAATTTTAGTTGTAAATTTAGATGTTAATTTTCCTGATTTTTGCTTTTCAATTACTATTAAGTATCCCTTAGAAACACATTCTAGCACCATTAAAGGACACATTCTGACATTATAGGATTTTGTGCCATTATAAAAAGCTTACATCTGTACTCTTCTGGTTTCTTTATTAAATATATCCATCCTATTTTTCTCAAAAGCATGCTTAAAATGAATACTATTTTAAATGCCTAAAGATACTTCAGAGTGTATTTCAGCAAGCTACTGAGGGTCATGGGTATTTTCTTGCCTAGATTATCTGAAGAATCTGGATACACTGCCAATAAAAACGATAATATAGGGACAATACAATACTACAGAGTGCTGCGGATGCACAAGAGCCAAAGGTCACCTGAAATACTAATGGGAAAACAAACTCAAGTTTTCTGAGGTTCAGTCGACAGTTCACTATGAAACAATGCTTCCTTCTTAATTAACACATTTTTTTCAAAATAGGTATTTTTTCGGTTGTTTTTTTCCAAGCTGTGAACTCTTCCTAATGTTTTTGGTATCTACCATAAAGGAACTATTTATAATTACCATGTGATGGGACCCAAAGGAGAAAAACTCAAATCTACCTGAGTCCCTTTAGTTTTCAGGTACAAGTATTGTTACCTTTATTCCGTATTAAAATATGATGTGCTTACGAGAACACATATATGAAAGGAAGAAACAAATGTTCTCTGGCTGATGACCATCAGCCCAGAGTTTCCAACTGAATATAAGTAGTCAGCTGGATATGAGTGCCAACCAATTATTTTAAGGAAAAGAAAAAGAAAGAGTACTTAGCAGTGTTATAGGCCAAATTATTTTCTGATAGAAAAGAGCCTGGCTCCACTGAACATCAAGGATCTATATTAATGCATTTTAACAGAATTTATGCCCTTTATGAGGCCTTGCTACTTTACTCTGATTATAAGCAGCTGAGATCCAGTTTCCCATAGTTAACCCTGAGAAAAGGTTTATCTCACATGTGGCAGGAATCTGCAGTCAAATCACTGACTTGAATTCAATTTGGGTACTTCGGCTATTTTGTCGCTCTGAACATAACACTGTCTCTAGTGCCTACATCTGCTATCACCTTCCCATTCCTATAACTCATGAGATGCTGTGAAATGATTACACTACAGGAAACATTTAGAAGCTGCCTTTGACTCACTCTAATTGAAATTATTTACAACACATTAAAGTTTACCTGAAAAAGACCATTTTTATTGAAGAAAGTAAATTGAGCCCTGGATATAACTTCAAACTCATCTTGACTTAAATTCTTCAGTAAACTTGGTGGCAGAACAACAGAAGCGAAGGCATTTGTCTGATCCTTGTCAAAATCTATCTGTTAAATAAACAGAAGAACAAGTTCAAACAAAACCCAAACTATCCATGGTCCACAATTGGGTTCTCCTTCTTACACAAAGGTATCTAAACATGAAACTAGAACAAATCAACACTAATATGACCTGTCCCTATGTAATGAGCTGATGCAATTAAAAAAAAAAAAATGCTTAGGAGGTTTTCCCACCCTTCCAGCATGAGATCAGCCTTCTGCTACAGGAAGGTATTAGACAAACCAAACAAACCAAACAAACAAACTCCTTGACCGCTATAATGATGATCTGGAAATAATGAGATGGCAATAATGGCAGTCAATAATTTTCAGTAACTTTCAAGATACTTTTCCTCATACCAAACAATGTTGAAAACTTAAACATGTGCTCTGAATCCTTCTTTCACGAGTTGTATTATTTGGCTTGATCTGCATATCTGAATTAATTCTCTATGAACTTTTCTAGTCTCTCTGTTTACAAAAAGGAGATTTAAAAATAATTATTAGTGTCACCTCTCTATATTTATCTTCCTATGTAGCACAAAAACAACACTTTCTGCCATCAGTATAAGCTTAATCTATACTGGCAATAGACTGGCTGAAAGCCCTCTGTGGCACAGGGATGTAACAAGTGAGCAGGAAATAAATAAGAATGCAAACTTACATTTCATTAGCTACCAGGCAGGAATTATATTACTGCATGCTCTCCCACCATGGCACACTCAAGGTATGCCACCCTGCCCATCAAAGGAAGGGGAGCGAGACATCTCACAGTGGCTCTATAGTAAAAATGTTCAGAATTTTACAGTGAGGTAAGGAAACTCACACTCCTGACTTCTCCAGAAGCAACTTGGTCATGTATTTATGCCTCTCATAATCAGTCTTATAATCCTAAAAGCATCATTAGCTAATAGAAAGCTAAAAGCCATAGGCTACTGACAGATTTATTTAACTTGTAAATTTTCACTGATTTACTGTGAATAACAGGCACCCTTGGAAATTAGTAAGAAGTGGTTCATACATATGTCCCGACAGGGCTAAATGCAGTCAAATAAAAGGTTTTTAAAGAATAATTCTGACACATTAAACAGAAAGTGTGTGCGTGATAAAGGTGTCCCATTAGGTATTGTCTGCAATTAGAGTGGAAGAGGCTTCTATAAAGAAGTATGGATATATTACAGGAACAATTTAATAATATGAATCACCAAAAGCTAACTTAGTCAAAGGTTTGGCAAGAAACATAAAGACACAGGGGACTGAAATAGAATCTTTCCAAATTGCCATGGACACATTTGCTTGATATCTAACTTTAAAAAAAAAAAAAAATGAAGTAAAATCTGGAAACATTCTGACATACAGCTTGAAGAGTTTAATGCTCCTTGATGAGCCTGGGATAGATCATCACATCACTGGTGAAAAACCTGGGCTTTCACAAGGGAATCTCCCTCCAGCAGGGACAGCAAGTATCTTTCCTGGCAGGCATGGAAAATACGAACGGTGACCACAGCTGCTGCAGGCTTTTCTGGTAGGAAGGATGCTAAGAATTCTCAATCAGATGTTGGAAATTTAAAAGTCTGAGAACAAACTCATGTTCCAATAGGAACATTATAAATAATTTGTCAGAGTTTGGATTTTATGATTATTTAGACAGTGCTGTAATAAATGATTCCAGGGCAAGAAAATTCCTGGATGTCCTCAAGCCACAGATGGTAATCCTTATTATACATGTGAACATCCCAAACCTGACTTCAGATTTTTTCCTTTCCTCTTTCCATAAATACAGGATGAAACCTAGAGGAGAAATGTTCCTTTTATAACAAAGAACAATCAGCTATTGAGCTTCATTAATGACAGAGTTAAACAAAAGTAGATTCACAATCATAAAAAGTTTTGAATAAAATAGATTCTTAGAAATTTTAGCCGAAACATCTGTTAATATAAATACGTGAAAACTCAATGACATTAAATCCATTTGTATCTATTTAAACCAGCATTTGAGTTTTGATCCAGTCTATATACACAGCATGTAAAATGCCTGCAGCCTATTATATTACTACTACTTTTAATAGCAGTGTCTTCATTACTGGTTTTGATTTTTACAGTACACAGTACTTTATAAAATGATCAGATATTCATTATGACTGTCATCTTGCCAATTTGCAGCGGGAATTAATCTGGTTCCATAAGATGCTTATACTCTAGTGATTAGTCTTTAACTGTTTTTCATAATGCCATGTTTTGTTTGGATGCAGATTTGGTTCCTCTGGCCCAAACAATAGCAGTGGGGTTTTTTTTTATTTTTATGTTTAATCTTTTCTGTGTGTTTCTCCAAATATTTGAATGGTTAGACTCCTAGGAAACTGAGATTACATTACCTCTGTCATAGACTTCTTATATAACTGTGGAAAAAAATACATTGCACTTCGTTTTTAAAAGCATTTAGGTACCGTAAGATCCAGACAGGCACATAGTGAAATTTAAAAAGTCTAGACACCTCACTGCTACTGATTTCAACAGAATCTTTGGAATATCCCAATAGGTGCTCATGTGCATCTCAAATATTATTTCATATTTCATAACTTTTAGATGTCTGAGCTTTTCTATTTGTGAAAAAAGAAGAAAAAATATTTTTGAGGTGATGACAAATATCTTAATGATAGCAGCCTGTCTAGATACTCCAGCACTGGAGACCATTCTGCATTTTGAGTGGTCTGGGTTTCTTTTATTTTTCATGTCTAGGCTGGCCAAGCTCCACATGAATGTCTCGAATCACCTCAGACATCCCAAATGGCACAAGCCTATCAACCTACGTGTGGACAACTGGATCAGCCTTAGGTGTCTGTTAGCAGTAGGTGTTTAAACTATACTGGAAGATTGAAGACCTATTCTATCTGCAGAAATCTACATGTAGATACCTACATTTAAGTGTTTTATTCTAAAGTTGAAATGCATCAATGGAGTTGTTAGCTACTGTACAATGGGTAATACAGCAGACCGTTAAAAGATTATTTTTCCCTTTTCATTAGTAAAAAAAACCCAACCAAAATTAAAATGGATAAAGTCTGTTCTGGATTTGTAAGCAAATTACTTTTCATCTGTATGGAACATGTGAGTTTATCTGGGTTTCCTGTCACTCAAGGAAATACTACATTAATCTGTTTGGATGATTGCAGGCAAAAGGAAATAGAAAGCAGGGGAAGAATTTGGAGTTTTAAGTGGTTTTATAGGAACCACAGTAAACACACTTGGAAAAACCGGCACATTTCAAATACAACTGCTTGTTCTGTACCTGGAAATCAGATGCATTGTTCTGTGGGCTGACACTGAAAGAACCACCTTTGAATGAAGTTGAGTTTAAAGAAGACACTCCAAGTGCAAGGTTTCGTGTTGAAATACTCATGGATGGTCCAGTGAACTGAATCTTTAAAGCCAAGGCATCAATAGTTTTTAGAGCTCTAAAAATAATAGAAATAAATTTATTCTAAAAACTGAATACAGGGAAAAAAAATTACTATGCTCTGTATGATCTCCATGTTTAAGATGAGCCTCTTATTAATGACTATATTCTATCACCCATCTGTGTATTCACAAGGAGACTGTCAAGCTATTTATGCATCTCTTGCAAAAAGAAGTTTTTGATTGACAGAAACTATCAGACTACATATCACTAGTCCTGAAATAATTTTCCAACAATACTTAGATCTATGTTGTGTCATGTATCAGGAGACTTCTTCTCCATCCAAATACTTTACGTTTGTCATGCACATTAATTTTAGTACAAGAATAAATATTTGTATATCTAGTTTGGAAAATTCCTTTTGATGGAAATCAGAAAAGTTTGATTTTTGTACTGCAATTGTTTTTATATATGGAAGGATGAAACCTTCCATCCTTCCAGGTTGCTCTCAAAAGCTTGTCTCAGATGCAGAAATACTTACTCTGAAGATGATGCTGCCAATACACTGTCTGAACTGGTCAGAATATTGGAAAAAATTGTCACCACGGTAGAACCCAGAGATTCATCAATTTCTTCATCGTTCACAATTTTTTTGAGCTTCTGCACAACATCATTTACTTTGTCTGAGGTTAGCTGCTGCCCTTCACCAGTGAGATTCAGAAGCTGATTGGCTATATCTGCTGCATTTTCTGTAAGAGTACATGTAAAATGAAATAAAGAGATAAAATAATGCATATCAGTCCTGAAGTAATCAGAAATATCCTCATTGTTGAAAGCTAGAGCATGTTCCGTGACACTTGTAATGAACATAGGATTTTATAATTTTATCAAATTTATAATTTTATGAAAAAGTATATAGAATCTGCTGATTATTATATACCGTCCTCTCTGGCTGTGTCTTTCTTTTCCTTAATTTGATTTGAGTTTGTAAATCAGAACTATTATTAAAAGGATTGATTGAAATAAAAAAGGGGGAAGTAAGAAATAAAAAGGGTATTTTCTCTCTTTTTTTCTTCTTATGCTATTCTTTTTTTTTTCCACTGGAAAAAGCAGTTTCACTCTTGAAGTGAAAAAAATGCATCCAGAGTCACTATTACTGAGAAAATATTCACTCTTTTAAGCTTTGGGGAGAAAGCTTGATGTTATTGTAAATGTTTCAGTTCCTTCAGAGGACTGTACTCTTACTTAGAGAGTTGGTAAGCACAACACACAATTAAATGTCATGAGAAGAATCTTCCTGGTAAGGAAAGTTGTACACTGTGTGCAATGGCAAAACAGCGTAAATCATATGTTAAACTCTAAGTTTGATGCTGCCTGGATAGAAAACTAATGTAAACACTAACATTTTACAGTATCAAAATATTTAAGATTTATTGTAATTCACAAATAAGATTTCAAAAGATCAACCTTCTTTAGTCTGCAACTGGCTGCATTTTTTAATGTTGAGTTTTATAATATACTATATATATTATTTTGCTATATTTACTGTAGAATGTTCATTTTACATGAAACAATATTTTCATATAGTCTAACTGGAAGTACTCAATCAACTAGGTTAGGTGTCCAGATCCGCTAGGACCTTTCTGTCAGTGGAGAAATAAAAAGAGTCTTCTCCAAGAAAGCAATTCAGAACAGGAGCTTACTGTAGGTGCTCTGAACTACTTATGAGATTATAATTTTCTTCACAACGTCTAGCACTAAAAGAAGGGGTCATAAAATTGTTGTCTATTACTCCTTTAAGGCCAAAATGACATCAATGGGCATTCTGTGAATTGAAAATAAATCTGAAAATGTCTGATCGTAAGGCCAGTGAAGAGATTGGGAGCCTTTCCACTGGCACATACAGGCACTGGAAACATTTAAAAATTTGTTTGAACCTGCATATCAAATTCAGGCAAGCTACCACCTGCCTCTATTCATGCTTAAATTACCTGAAGAGTCTGATGTATTTCATTAATTGGTAAGCAGAGCTTTTTATGGATGGGCTGAATTCAGCTTTCCTGGAGCTCAAATATTTACTTTGCACTCATTTTTTAGAACTATTTTAAACAACTTAGTATAAAGGGGGAAGGTACTCCCCCTTACTGTAACTTCCTTAGAGTAAGCAGTAACCAAAGTCTACAAAACTAATCCTTTAGCCAAAGACCAATATCAATATACCCACCTGTGCAATTTCTAAGATCAGGCTGGCCCCAGTATGATGTATAGTTCTTCAGACCCAAATAGCTAAAGAGGAAAAATGACAAAATTTACATGAAATACAATAGAAAAAATATCTAAATGTTTCATAACTCTTTTGTAGGTGTAACAGTGGTCCACTCTTCTCAACTCAAAATTTTCCTAGCAACATGGCCCCTAGTGAAATGAAATATGTATGTTTGACAGTGGACATATGTGACCAATTAAGTGACAGTGCTGAGAGAAACCCTAGCTCTTTTGGAAAAATTCCCAGCTGATTCCTATACTGATTTGATAAATCGCAGCAGTGGAAATTCTGGTCTTGTATTTCAGTAAAGATCCAAATGTTGACACAAACTATTATGCTCTTCGTATTCCCTAATCAGGTGCTGTTTGTACAATTTCTCTTTGATATAAACTGCTTTCATCAAGTCAATAGCAAGCTGTAATACCCCTCACAAGAACACACACACAAGATATTTGGAAATATAAATTTATGCTACCCATGAAAACTAGGGCAGGTCACCACAAGATCCAGATCCAAGGTGAGGGGATATAAAGGGTTTTTTTTTCCCAAATGCTTTTTAAATAGCCTTACCATAGCAAAATACACAGATATTTTAAGACATATAACTGCACAGTAGCAGGTAACCATCTACTGTGGGATGCACAGGAGTAGAAGAGATGATTAGAAGAGCTTCCTCCTCTCTCAAAACACATCCCACCTGTGCTCCATATTGGCAAAAGCTAGTGGAGGCAGAGGCAAGGAAAGCATAGCACAGCACAGAACATGGTATATATATTTTTTTATGAGAAGTGCTGTACCCAGACAATCAATGGCATTGTGTAGGCCTCAAATGAACAATAAAGATAAGCAAGACTGGGGCAGCAAAGGTCAGAAGCCTTAATTTTTAATGATTCTGTGGCTCTGACATAATAACAATTCGACTTCTGCACTACTCACTCTACAACAAAAGTTGGTCAATCAGAATCCAGCAGTTCTTGTACAAGATTAAGAGACTGAGGAAGTGAGTTAGTTAAATATAATGCTGGTTTATTTCCTGTTTGGCAAAGAACCTCAAAGCTGATTCATATCCATGTTGCCATATTGTTTTCAAAAAGTAAAAGATCTAGTCTTCTCAGAACATGTTCCAGACACAGTGTGGGCAGATAAGACTATTATATTGCATTTAATGGTGAACATCCTAAATAGTGAAGAAATTAATTAATATTGCATCATCATGGCTGTGTTCAAGGCACTCAAAGGAGATCAAAGCCATATTGTTTTGGTAATATATCAAAGGAAGTAATAATATTCCCATTTTACAAATGGGAAGTAGAGATACAGTGGATAAATCTTTAGTAGATGTTCATAAAGAAAGCCTACAGTAGGGAAAATTTATCCTAAACCTTAAAAACACAAGCTCAAATATTTAATCATAAGATTATTCCCACCTTCAGCTATGACCAACTACTGGCAAAATGCTTATTTCACAGGATTTCTTTTACTTTCCCTTAATGAGATGAGAGGTTCAGGAGTAAACCAAATACACATCTCACCTTCATAGAATTTTGGTGAGAATTTCTTATGCAAGTCACATAGTAGTAGTGGAGTGATAGCAAATGTAATACTTCAGTTTCAGTAACATAAACATCATGACTTGATGAAAGCAGTTTCATTCGGTAAGAAGGTTCTGTTTTTATAGTCGCTTTGAACATGTATTAATTGTGGGCCTCAATATGCCCTACAGAAGTGGTAGATAAGCTTTTTTTTTCCTTTACCAATAAAGTACATCTACTGCACACACATAATCTCTCACATAGAGAGATAGAAATCTCACATAGAAATCATCTTCCTGAAATAAAATACCAGCCAATGGCAACCATTATGGAGGATGCAGTTTAACTATATAACCAGAAAGTTGCATTTGAAGCTCTCAGCTTCTCAGATATTTGAACACCTACCAGGTTCTTGATGCAGTCTGAACTGAGCTCCCATGGCATAATATAAAGTTGGTCACAGTTGGTCTGGTATCTGGCCAAAAGTAGTTTGGAGGGTTTTCTTCAGCTAAACATTTTTCTATAAAAATAACAATATATCAGCGTTAATGGTAAATTTCTTCATCTAATCATCTTCCATTTCTTGTCCTCAGCTCATCAACCAGTCTACAGCACAAAGCTGTCTTCAAATGAAATGCTTGCTTGTTACTTATAGAGTAGTGGCAATGGAGGGGTGCACAGCAGGGGACAACACATACTACTGCTGGTCAAGGGAAAGGATTGAACGTGCATGCTGCATCCACTTGCATTCCATCAGCCTTCACCTCCCAAGGGAAAGGAAATCTCTGACTGGAAAAATTTGAATGGGAAAAGATGAGAGCTAAAAGGAGATTGATTAAGGGTAGCAGCTGCAGCTGGCAGGAGCACAAACAACAGCGCTGAGGAGTGGGCATGAGGGGCCTTGGAGGTCCAAAATGTCTCATTATTGCTCTGGCTATAAATCACACTTCTTTATCCTCAAACTGCCAGAGAAGCTGTCAGGAATTGTCCCAGCCTCTTTTGAACTAGACAGCAAAACACTGACTAAAGCTATCTGGACAACTCTCTGTTAAAAGACTTATCCTGAGCACAACTCTCTGAGATTAGTGGAACAATGGGGCTTAAAAGAACAATTTAAAATCTGAAACAGTCTTTCTCTTTGAAAATGTGCTATCATTTTAACACAGAGGATGCTGATTTATGGACAAGCAAATAAAATCTGTTGTGTAACAAAGCCAAAAACTACTTACCCACTGGATCAACATCCACAGTATGAAGCATATATCCTCCTTCCATGGTCTTATTATTATTTATGAGTTTCTGTCGGATGTCTTCCTCTTCTAAACTGATGTTGTTGGTAGCATTATAAACCAGAAGAGCCAAAACCCCAAAACTGCAAGGAAAATTATCCGGGTGTTTGAGTCAGAACAGCAGAGACCAAATGTGTGGAAATAAAAATATCTGACAAACTCTGTTTTTCTGAGTATGGAACAGTGTCACCAAGACAATTTTGATTATTATCTGTGAATTATTATTTTTTTATCTATAGGGCCACAACAAGAAAGCACAGTTGGGAAATTTCATGTTCTAGGTACCATTAAAGAAACATATAATCAAAATAGCTAAGAAATGTTTTCAGCAGATTTAGATTATTTTAAAATTATATTAAAAGATGAAAGCATAAACTTGTGAGTTCTAATTGGGCCCTAATTAAATTTAAAAATCTTGTTGCTTATGGCTTAGGAACTTAAGAGCTGATTCATCCCACCTTACAAAACTTGTCAGGATGGGACAAGTCATCCTCCAGAGGGTTTATCTCTCTGATGACTACAGAGGAAGACTAGAAGATTAACGAAGAACAGATGCCTAACATTTCAATGTCTAAATTTTGATGGAGCGAAAAACACCCCGACAAGACTTCTGAAACATAGTCCTAATTAGGAAAGTCTAGTTGCTCAGATGAGTAATTCAAGTTTGAGCAGTAATAGCTGTTTTGTACTGTAGCCCACTGCTACTTTCTTGGGCATAAGAAATAGTTCAAAGGGCCCAAGTCTCTTTCCTGTGAGAGAAATAAAACAGTCCCCACCCCTTGTCCAAAAACATAGCTTTTCTGGAAGGAAAATAATGAACAGAATAGCAGTTCTAGCAGGACACAGGAAAGAAGTCCAGAGTGGAAGGCTCAAAAATTTCCTCCTGGGACACAGAAAACACATGTTGGAGAAGAGAATACGTTGGTACCCAAGAGCATTGCTTGGCTCTGGCTAGTAGGAGGTGACGCCACTGAAGCATGGAACATTGGATCTCCATGGGAGCAAAAGTGTGGAAAAAAGGAAAAAGCAAGCCTGCTTTGGGCTGTCTTCATCTAAGCTTTGCCCTTGGATAACCAGCAGCCTGAATAAAGACAGAGCTTTGCGGTGTGTGAGCATTTCCTGGCAGTCTGGGAACAGTGAGTAGGGCACACACCAAACCCAGCTGCTTTCACTGGTGGCTCCCAGTGCAAGAAAGTAGCAGTGAGCTGAAGGGTCTTGAGGTCTACTTAAAGAAGAGTAGGAGAGAAAATCTGTAGAGACACTGTATCGGAGAGGGCTAGTAGGGTTTTTCAGGTACCCCTTCCTAGACAGACCAGGGTTTCATTTCCAAAAATCTTCCAGAAATACATCACCATGATGACAGCTCAGAGTTGCACTTTCCAGAGATGCCTAGTCTGGTACAGTATAACTACAGCTTTGTGTACAGATATTGCTCTTAGATGGCAGATTTATCCCTCTTTCTGTCAGACATAACTCTGAAAACTGAGTAACTCCAACCAATAATTCTGAAGTACTCTCATTAGTGAAATGGCATTAAAAGAGCTGGCAATAGAAAACAACTTCTCAGTCTAGGCAAAAAAATTTAAAAGCCCAAACCTCATAAAAAACCAATAAATATGAACTAAATACTCCACACATTTCACTGTTGCTGATATAAAGAAATAAGTAAATATACACAGTCCCTGGTTGGTGGGGGTTTTTTTTGTTTGTTTGTTTGTTTGTTTGTTTGTTTTTTTTGTAGAACATGAGTACACATTTCTTTTTTCCTTGCCATATCCACTGTTTTACTGGTAAACATGTTGCTGGAGAAGAAGATTAAAATGTGACTACCTGCAGGTTTGGCTTGTTTCTTCCCCAGTGAATATATTTTAGCAGAGAAATTCCAGCTATCCCTGGCCAGGTTGCTTCTACCCTGCTCCCAGAGATACTGAGTTACTCCTAAAATTCCTTTGGTCTCTCTGAAGTGTTTAACATATGGCAATAGCCTCAGTAGGGTGGACATGCATTAGCAGGCTTTTGCTGTATACCTCAGATATCTTACGAGGCACAAGTTTATTATGGCATTTATTTTTAGCAGAAGCATGGAAATTGCCTATAGGATTGCCAATTCCTTCTGCCCTCCAGTACTTCAGCCCCAGAGTCTCCTGGAACTTAACCATCTTTCCTAAAAGACTCTGGCTTCACTCATCTATTCCCTTTGCTTCAGAAGAGGAAAACTTAATATACTGATGCCACTCCCTACCTCAGCACTTTGGCTGCAAAACAGAAGTCATAAGCGAACACTCATTGCTACTACTATGCTGTCTATTGCAGGACTCCCAACTAACCAAAATGATATTTAGTACCCATAACTGTGCGGAAGGATAATGGCAACAAAACAGAAGGGATAATGATAGATGATGTAGAACGGGTTACAGTTATCTCAAACTACTATAGATTAAAGTACCTATTATGAGCACTGATAAAAATAATCTGTTAAACCACTTTGCTATTTGTTTTCTGAGAAACTCTTAGAGCACAAGTCATATACTGCGTAATAAGAGCCTGTTCCATATTATGATGAAAACAATTTCTATAAACTTTTCAGAATGACTCATGCTATGTTCCCAAAGTAAATAAATACCTTTTAACTCGACAGCTGACACAACATGAAGCTGAGTGCTTCCTTCCACTTTTGTCACACTCGGATCCCATAAAGGAAACATTTTAATGGTGAAGAACAAAATTCTCAATTGGGGAAACAGTAGGCCTACACTCAAATAAATGGCAACACTGCCATTCTCTGCTGGTATCACCAGATTTGCTACACGCAACCTTACATCTTTTATTGTGTGGTATATAAATGCAGATAGATTCTTGCAGCAGTAATCAATTACAAATTACACATCACCTACAGTAACCTGTATTGCTAGTATTACTGCTGTCAATACAAAAAAATGGACTGTGGTGTAGGTAAACACAATGGGGATAAGTATTTATGCCTCTCTTCTCTTTGACTGAAACAGCGACAGCTGGAGCAAGCAGGAAAGCAAGGGGAGACCGGCGTCTATCCCACTCTGTCCTGGTCTGTTGAGCTAATCTGTCTCAGAGAGAGGAGTTTAAGAAGCTGCATCCTCACCAGAGGAACAGGAGGTGGTGGGGGCGCCTGCGCCGCCATGGCGCGTACCACAAAGCCGGCTTTCTTCTCCGGCAGTGTGACTCAGAGCTATTCCAGGACAGCGTGCCTACACACGGGCTGTGGTCTCACTACTACGCCACGCAAGGAGCCTGAAGGAAGGATTAACAAACCATGCGAACCGTGCAGCACAGACTGTCTCATACCTGAAGATGTGTGGTTGATAATTAGCAATCCTTATTTCTCCTCTTGTTTCAGTTATACTAGAGAGGTTGAACTAATACTGAATTATTGCAGTTGTCAAACTGTTTAACAAATCACTATTAATTTATTTCTCAGTTAATATTGATTTAAAGTATATAAAAAAATCATTTTTAAAGCTCTTAAGTACTCAGAGAATCTAAATTTTCACTAAAAGTCACTGGGAATTGCATTCCTAACTACCTTCGCATATTTAAAAATGTTTTAAGATGTCAGCCTTAAATTCTTTACCAATCTTGCTGTTATGTTGGCTTTGAAGATAAGCAGTGATGGGTAGCTATAACTCAAGACTAGCAGCACAGGTAGGCCCATAAAGTCACCTGTAAACACTAACTTCTTCACACTAACTGGACAGAGAAAAAAAAGAACTGACTATTGCATAAGTCACTCAGTGAAGATGTAGTACAGACAAAATGTTAGAAAATACACAGGATGAGACAGAATGAAATACAAAAGTAGAAGGAAATTAAAAGCATTCCACAAAAGCATCTGAGTTGTGGATAAACTTTTACTTGAGGTGATTTTGACTGTGATATCATTAAAAAGTTCAGAACAGAGAGCAAAAAAATAGGACTGGGCATATAAACACATTCAAAGTAATGCCAAGGATGAAGAGGTTCCTTTCTCAGCAGAAGGCAATGCTATCGAAAAAAAATAAAATTTGACACTTCAGGACACAAAACTAAAAACTGCAGCTACTTTTTGGACTACTAAAAACAAAAGCATCCTAAGCCTTCCTTTAAGTTAACGGACAATGTACCAAAACAGTGCTGTGAACAGCATCACCATGCCTCTGTGCCTGTCCTTGTGTCTCCAGGCCTTGCTCCTCCTTGCATATCTGGTGTGGCAATACAAACAACTATGGCTTTTCAACAGAAAGCACTTATAATATGTGATGATTTGGTATGAAGACTATTCGTTATTAGAGAACGTAGCAGAAAGGCAAACCAGAAAGGACTGGAATCCCTCACATTTTAACAGCTGTTCTTTGCTGAAAGTAGTTTTTGGTTACGCTTGAAATATGTTCCAAAACATCAAAGAAAACCCCCATTTCCCAATACATTACTTTCCTAAAAATGGCATCTAACAATGTCAGGCAACAACACTAAATCCAGTTAAAGTCAGTGGAAAGACAAAGGAAGTAACTGGAAGCTGGACTGAGAACAGGTAGCCTCAGCAGGAGGCTAAGAAAGTATCATACTTAATCACTCAGTGGAATTCCCAAATTCCTCCATCTGTGATGAAGGCTTTCTTTACAGGTCATGGACACAAGATGCCAGCAGGGCACTGTGAAGAAACTTGTGGATTTCTGCTTGGCTCTTTCTTGGTCAGTTTTGCAAGCAGAAATTTTATGCATAATGTGCATACTATATAGCATTTAAAAAATGTCACTCAGCACTGGCCAAGGCTGTCCCTTACTACCTTTTGTAACAGTTGAAGTCGGGGGGAGTAGAGGTGGGCCAGCCCCAAGTTGTTCCTAAAACCTCACCAGTAGAAATCAGGAAATATTTTAAAACAGGAATAGGCATCACAGATGTGTTCATTTATTACAAGAATAGCATTATTATTTCATAACTAATAGTCTGATGTAATCTACAAAGAATGCAAAAGCCTAATACTTTACTTGGTAAAGATACTTAGGACTATAAAAGCAAAATTACGCTGCTCTGATGTTGCTAACTCCTGTCTAAAACTATTACACAATCTAATTAGCTTAAGTTTTATCCAAGTGCATTAAACATTCCATTAGGCAACACAGCACCCAAGAACACAGCATGCAGGAGCCTGAATCTGCCTTATTGACATTGGTAGCAAAACTCCCACAGACTTCAAAAAAGCAGGACCAGGCATGGGCAGCTCCAATTTCCTGCTTTCCTCATTTTCATTCATAAGAGAAGGGATTTCTGTTTAAGCTTAGTGGTCTTTTTGCTACCACTGTGGTTTTTAATTTGGATGAGTTGTTTAACAGTATTGACATTAATGTTTCACATAGTAGAAGTAATTGAACACAGGAAAGAAGCAAAAAATATGAAAATCCAGTAGAGGAAGTTGGAGCAAGCACAATCTTATTTATATGTTAAGTGCAGAAAAGGTTATAAATGAATTGGGGCCTGAATTATCAAAAACTTGCAAAATAAAAAAAGAAAGGAGAAGCAGGGGAGCTTAATAAAGACCAATTCCCACACTGAAGCAGCCTAGTCATCCAAGAAGACCTAGGATCAGTAGGATGCTCTGAGAAAAGCAGCAGCAGCAGTCACAGGAAGTTATGACAATGCTGCAGTGTCATAAAAGGCAAAGAATAAATGAAAGAAACAAACACATTTATAATTTATCTACATAAAGAACACAAATCGGCTTCACTTTCAAAGGTTTGTGCAAAATAATGAGGGACAAACAGCTATGTCCATAGCCCATTCTGAACTCCTGTGCTTTATTTTGAATAGCTGTTCTCTCTCATTAAGAGATGGAAACAGTATGACCAGAGGAAAAAATTAAACATGGACATAAAGTCAAGTACAGCTGTGATAAAATTCTGTCTATTAAAATAGTTAATAATCTACCAAAGTTATTAGCTTGATATACTACTGTCATCCAGAGATCTCACCATATTAAAGGTGCTGTTAATAATATGATAGAATCATAGAATCATAGAATCATAGAATCATAGAATGGTTTGGATTGGAAGGGACCTCAAAGACCATCTAGTTCCAATCCCCCCGCCTTCAGCAGGGACCCCTTCCACTAGATCAGGTTGCTCAAAGCCTCATCCAGCCTGGTCTTAAACACTTCCAGGGAGGGGGCATCAACAACTTCCTTGGACAACCTGTTCCAGTGTCTGACCACCCTTACAGTAAAGAACTTTTTCCTAATATCTAATCTAAACCTGCCCTCTTTCAGTTTAAACCCATTTCCCCTTGTCTTGTCATTAGTTGCCCTTATGAAAAGTCCCTCCCCAGCTTTCTTGTAGGCCCCCTTCAGGTATTGGAAGGCTGCTATGAGATCTCCCCGGAGCCTTCTCTTTTTCAGGCTGAACAGCCCCAACTCTTTCAGCCTGTCTTCATAGGAGAGGTGCTCCAGCCCTCGGATCATCCTGGTGGCCCTTCTCTGGACTTGTTCTAACTGGTCCATGTCTTTCTTATGTTGGGGGCTCCAGAACTGGACGCAGAACTCCAGGTGGGGCCTTACAAGAGTGGAGTAGAGGGGCAGAATCACCTCCCTCGACCTGCTGGACACAAAGTCAATATGCACTTTTGGACTTGGCACTCTGTCTATCTCTCATCAACATGTACTTAAAAGCATAATAAGCACAGTGTACTTTGGATTTCTGCAGCTCATAGAACACAGCAATGAAAGAGGAACAGTCCACTTCCATATTTTTGTTTTGTTTTGCTCTTCTCCAGAATGCAGTACAGTTTACAATATTTATTTAGAAAACATCTATTTTTAACATGTCAGAAAAAGCAAGCTTCCTACCTCCCACTTTCAGCTTCTATTTCTTCTCTGAATTATTCTCTCTCTAATGATTCTTCCTCTTTCACTTGCAAGAAGACTAGGTAGGGAGAGCAGTAACAGAAGTTCCTTGATAAGGTAGCAAGTGTGGTAAATAAGGGTTGAAGCAAAGCAAAATGCATAGAAAAGGTTGTGTAGGGTTGTTTTGGTTTTGTTCTGGCTTGGTTTTTTTTCAACTGTTATATAAAAGACTAATCCAAAAGGTAAGGAAAAAAGATGTGATCTGAATGATAAGAATATGAATTCATATAAAGAGAGCAATTCATTCTCAAAGAGCAATTTAAAGAATTATGATAGTGCCTTAGAAATAAAAAGGCTACGATCTTGTGGAAAATTTAGAAAAGAAACAAGGTTTAGTGAGCTAGACTAAAACTAATATGTTCACTTCTGTAAAAGATAAAGTTGAGGCCATGATACTTATGAGTTAGGTCTTAAATTTTAACTGTGGAGTGAATTCTGTTCAGATGAACGTGAAGGTAAATGGGATATGAAGTATTTAAAAAGTAAGGAAAATAGTGGAATGTCTAAAACTCCAAGAGATTTATTCTTGACTATCCAAATCGGAGAAATAAGAAAATCTTTAGACAACTATTCACAGAAATATTTATAGGAATATTTAATTAATAGAAACTGTATGAAATCACACTGTGAGCAAGTTACGTACAAGAACTCAGTCATAACATTTCAGTGGATCACCTGAGTAGTGAGAAATCACTGCCATCAGGGATTAAGAACTTTCAACCTGTAACCTGCTAATTTTTTGTACCCCAAAAAGTTTATCTGGTGTCTTACAGGATTTCCTTAGAATCCTACCCAGGACATATCCAAGAAAGTGGAAAACCTAACAAAGTATCTTGAAAGCAAGGATAGGAAAGTAGTAAAAAAAATTAAAAAAAAAAGAGTTTTCTACCTGGATCTTCAGAAACTCAACAGATTTATTCCTTGCAAAATCTAGAAACAGTTGTGAGAACCTCAAAGAACTGGAAACCTTGTGACTAAACCCAGGAACACTGATGACTACTGGGAAGCTGATCTTTCTTTTGTTTCAGAAGGAAAGCAATATCGAATAATAAACAGGCACTCAGATGACCTAAAGCTGGGAGAACACCGACTTTTCCCAAAGGTTTCTCCTGTAACATGCATGAAAATACACGCAAGACATGAAAAATACATGAAAAAACAGCAAACGATCCTGTGTATATACATTTCTATATATGTATATGTGCATATACAATGCATAAAAAGTGGGATTTTTGTTAGTCACATATCATGTAGCTCAATTAAGTTTTTAATTATCCCCAGGTTATACCAACCAGGTTACTAGGCTGGGCAGAATCTTGACTTCTCTTTTTTTTTCTTTTCTAAGAAAACATGTACAGCATAACAATCCTGATTATTGGAGAACAGTAACATTTTGTGTGACATGATCAGCATTTATACTAAATTATTCAAAATTATGACAAAATGACACTTGGCCTTGAAACAAAGTACACTAGAGCCCATGAGAAGACTAGTTTCTCATTAGACCAGGCCTCCCTTGAAAAACTTTATGACATATTACGAACAAGTAATTCCATTACCTCTGAAATTACACAGGATGAGCAAAGTAAATAGGAATGAGGTTAATTCCCCATACCAGTGAAACATTATTGGAAGTAATTTAGTGCCACATTCACCATATGTCAGAAAGGGAGGGAAAGGGAATTACTAGAATAATGTCTTGCTCTTCACCTCCTTTTATTTATAGACCAGGAAGAAGAAACAAAATCCAGAGGACAGTATGGTGGGAAGGTAAAATGAGAATGTATCAGGTGTGCAGTCTAGGAGAGAGAACAGATGCTGACAAGCTGGGCTCAATAAAAGATGCAGGAATAAGGATGGGGAAAGCTTTACATTCCTTAGCAGTCTTGGATTGTTGGTAAGACCTGAGGCATGGTCTCCACTTAAAAGGTTTTGCTGGCATAACCGTATCATTTAGAAGTGTGAAAAAAATCCCACCCACACCACTACACCCTACTGTAAATGTAGGTCAAGCAGCAAAATAGCCCATTCAGAGACAGTTTACACTATACCAGTTAAATGGTTTTGCCAATAAAAGCTGTCTTTCTGCTCTGGGTGTGTGGGAAGGAGATAGTACCTTTTACAAATCTTTTCATGTCTAGGTAAACTCTGTAGAAAACTAGAAGCACCAGTTACTACTTCCTGATGGTAAATTGGGAATACTTGGCTATAATCTCCAAAATTAAAATGCCCAGCTGTTGGCAAAGCAGCTCTCAGGAATCAGCAAAGTCCTTTCTTATGGGACTTTTGCCTACACTGCAAACAGATATAGCTCATACCCACTTGTTGCCCCTTCCTCACAAGACTAATTATGTTTTGGTTTCCTCTCCTTAGTTTGATCCTAAGATTCACTCCCTCCCCATAAAACTCTCAGAAATCAGCCTGCTGCTTTCAGAGAAATCTCCCGAGGCCCAGTTTTCAGGGGGTGTGACCCGTTTAACTTTCTTTGGCTGCCTTTGAGGTCGTCCCAACTCCAGTGCCTCTGAGCCCAGCAGAAGTCAGGAAATGAGAGCATATGGTAAATAGTTTAACTCACACTAGTTTGGCTTTCAATTCTAGCATGATTTTTCAGTGTTTTGCATCTAGCAAGACGTTTGTTAACTCAAAAGTCTCTGGTTCAAGAGAATAAATGCAGTGACAGTGGACAGAGTACCAAAGCTTGTTGCTCAAGAAAGCTGTGTGTACCATACCACACATACATGATGTCTATTCAGTTTTGTGACAGGTGTCAGGTGAAACCTGAGCTCTGAAAAAATGATCTGTTAAGGTTTAAAGCTCAGTAGTTTAAACCAAAACAAACATGATAACCAGTATTAGGTTTCTGAGCACATCCAGAACACACAGCTCGCCAGCAGTCGTATATTTACAGATTGGCAGCATATGCCCAGTAATAGACAATGAATCCAATAATAAACAATAAAGCCTGTTGTAAAGCCACTTGTAATAGCAGCTGTTGCCTCTATCAAGAAAATGTCTTTAAAAATGTTACCTTTTAATACTTCTTTTTTCTCTTACTCCCTCTTTTATGGAGCCAGGGTGGATGCTATAAAATAAATAAACATTAATCAGAATGGGCTAATTCTCAAAAGAATATAGCATAAACTTTCCCCCTTCATTTACCTGATATTGACCACATATACAGTGTAATTCCAGTTCTGGAAAGTACGGTTTAGCTGAAAAACAGGAAGACATTGATCATATGAATGATGAGATGTTAATGGGGCCCTTTGTTGTTTAAAACAGAGTTAAATTTCACTCTCCTCCCCCTTGAGACAATTCCCTTCAGTTTTTCAAAGCAAAGAAACCCATTTCAGTGAGGTGATTGTTAGATTAGTTGTACAACTGGTAGTGAGAGATGGCTTTTTTACTGACAGAAGGAAATCTCTATAAGGTCACGACACAGTGAATAGGTGACTGTACAGGATGCACAGAACTTTTCCTTTTCTCCCCCTCTTCCTCACCTTAAATTCTCAGAAACACTTTCATTAGAAAAGGTTTCCTGACAAAACTACAGGGTCAATTTTCACCTAAAAGTCTACAAACTTATGATGATCTTTTCTTCAGATCTTTGTACTATTTATACTGAGGGGGCAATGGCTGCTCAGTTTTCCCCCAGGAGACACTTTTGCATAGTCTGCTAGGGTCAAGTTGACACCCTTCTACATTCTTTGGCTCAGGCACATAGGTACTTCATCTGGCTACTGCTGCTAAGAAAACAACCTTGGCAGGTGTGGATGGCTGCATTTCTGGTTTGTAGATAACTATAGGTGGTTTCCTTAGCTTTATTATAAGAATTACGCTTCAGGTTCAATAAAAGAAAAATAAAGAATAACTGCCATATACTTATGCCATCACATTTTCATGTAAGCAGTTGGTATAAAGACTACTTACAGAATGTGTAAGTGCCACTACGTGAACTGTCAAAAAGGACAGAGAATATCTATATTCAAACAGGAGGAACTTTCAGAGGCAAGAATTCAAGAATCATCCACCCAGAGGGCCCAGAAAGGAACTTATGTCTGCTAAAATGTGATGAAAAACCAGGGGCTACTAGAAACCCCAACAACTGAACTATGGCAGAAGAATTCTGAAGTAGAGAATATTAAGGTAAATTGGAAAAGTGTATTGCCTCACACAAATTAACACTGCCCGTTTTCTTTATTATTTCTATCACAACATAACTTCAAAACCACATTAGTATTTGGGGAGAAAAAATTTGCTCTCTATAGTGATGTTGGAACTTAGACATCTTCCTCTTTCAGTTGGACAATTCTGATTTCTTCATACTTTCCAAAATCTCAGCTAGTATCGACATTCCTTACAAAGCTGGCTAGTATAGTAGAGACATTTCAAAATTTTATCCATAGTGCCTAATAGCCCCAACTAGACTTGAATTCATTACGGCAAAAATCAATAATAGAAAGATCTTCAGAGAACACATATTCATTTAAGAATTTATTTGGTATTCTCTTTCTTTTTTTTTTTTTTTCTTTTGATAACAGCAATGGGGCAGATTCATATATGCAATCATATAGAAAAGAAAACTTAACTTACCCATTCTGCAACCACATCATGCACTTTCAATTCTGAATTGGAGTTGGGACTAAAGACAATTATAGATATCCTGTAGAATAGCCCACCTGTCCATTAAAAACAGCATTATAATGTTAGAAACTGAGCAAATTTACCTTTTAATAGGTAAACTAGACTTTAGGTTTAACTAGACTAATAGGTTTAACTAGACTTTAGTTTCATGATGAATATAAAAATTGGTCTGAACCCCAGATACAAGGACAGCTCAAGCTCTTGTTGGCATTATGCAAGTTTGGAGTGAACAAGCCCTGCAGACTTGGGCCCATTCTCTCCAGTCCTGTTGAATTAGACAAGAATTCCCCCCCTCTCCATATCTTTAGAGACAGTTGAAATGTGACATGGAAACTCACAAACAATGTACGTATAAATAGTATTTTGCATATACCTTTAATGTGGTGTGTAAAAGCAAGATCATGAAAGTGAAATGAATTTTAAAAATAATCATAATTATTGAAGTCTGTAATGCAAATAAATTCTGCTCTCAGTCATACTGTTATAATCCAGAATTCAACCACTAAAGATTAGACTCAAAACTCTGTGCGAGCAGATAAGGTTCATCAGTTGAAAGTAACATGATAAATGAGGACAGAATTAGGTGGAAGGAGGGCCATCCAGCTCTTATTTTCACAGCATAGTCTTTGCTCTCAGGCCTGGTGATGGCCAGATAGTAGCTGAACAAACCATCTTTTAGTCACAAAATGTGCAACACTTGGCTTGGAGCAATTTTATATTCAGTAAAATTGTTCCGTAATAGCTCTGGGTAAACATAAATTCTCTTTAAGCTCATGAGTTGGTAGGCAGCACTACAAGCTCTCACATCTAATAAATAACTTCAACTCATCTCATAGTTACGCTCTGTGTTAGAAGTCTACACTTTTCACAAAGTAGTATAGACTTCAATTTTTTTTCATTAAGCTACTAAAAATTTTAGTTCCACTGTAGTTGGACAAAATTTCCCAGGATGTGTGGGAGGTTTAAAAGCTTCATCAATTAACTTGCATGTATGCGCTCATGTGGCATTGCTTGGTTTAGGGCTGTTATGAAATGAAGTTGTGGGTCCTGATCATAGATTCATGTATTTATATATATCATATGTAAATCTTACAGAGTCACTACATAGGAGTGAACAGGACATGATAACATTTATACAGAAATCCCTTTCTGTCTCTTGATTCTAAAGGGACTGCTCTATCGTTCTGAGTCTAAATAAAAGACCTTTTATTCTAGGTGGAGCAAATTTAATCATTTTACAACCTCATGGATAATAATTTTACAAGAGCTTGAAATAGAAGTATCTGGAAAAAAAACCTGAAGTCAGTATTTTCCAGGTCAATTGTGCATATTGGTTACTATCCTATTCATGACCTGTCTTGAGCATTGATCTTCCATTTCATTATGGAATTGACCATATGATCACTGAGATTAGTATGACAATTCCTCTACAATAAAATACTAAAGAATCAATTTCTTGTAGAAAGATGGTTTACCAGTTACCTTCTTTGTAAGCTATGATTAGATTTTAGATATGAGTAGAATGAACTTGCTTGCTTTTTGATTTATTGTCTTTTTTCCCCTCCCATAATTCAGCAGGCACACAAATGTGGTGTGCAGTTTAATCTGAAAATGTATTTTAGTTTGTTATTATTACTGTTATAGTTTCAAATTAAAAAGAGAAAAAAGTAAGTCTTTGGAAGTAGAAAATTGGACTTTGGGCAAGTTGAAAACACTTGCAAGACTTGGATATCATTGCTATGTATAAATCTCTGTATATACATATATTCAATTTCATATGTATAATGTACTTTTATATGTGCTATACAGATACACACATTCAGAAAGTGTGCATTATATATATTCTCACACATTCACCTATAATCATATATATAATTATAATCTTATTTATATAATTATGTATATGGACAGAATAATCTTAATACAGGAATATGCAAAGTATTTTAAAAATCCAACATAGCAACTACAAACTAGTCAACATCTTCAAGATCTTCACCAGATGTACATTTTAATGAGGTGAAAAAAGAACAAGAACAAAGAACTAATCTACATTTTAAAACACTCTCAAGAGACTGCAGTGGCAGATAGTGAAAACTAAAAATGATTTCTCACTCTCCAAATTAAACAGTGGAAATCCCGCCTCAAAATGCTGAATGAAAAGAAATATTTTTATGGGCAGAAAATTGATGAAATGTAGCCAAAGATAATTTAAAAAAAGAGGAAAAAAGAACCTGGAAAAACAATTCTCCTCACACCCACCACCAACTATAAAAATATAATGATCAATGAAATCCCAGGATTTTGGGGTTTTTGGGGGGTTTTTTATTCTGTTGGGCAAATTATCCAAAAGTTTCTTTTGGAAAAACCTTTGCTTTTTGAAAGACAAATCCTCAAAAATATATGAATACTCTAAGTGAAAAACACTTACACAATCTTAAACAATAAAATGGCATACATGGCAATCCAATATATTATCCTCACAGTCTCATGAGAGCTGTCTTAAAGAAGTACACAGAAATTAGAAATCACACGTTAATGGCATTTACTATCACTAAGTTGTTACAAATTCCCTTCTACTGTAATTAAATTACTACTCCAAAATCTTTTCATACACTAAATGGTCTATATCTAAAGGATGAAAACCAGCTACTTCTATGTTCAGTCTAATAAGATAAGATTATCTGGATATTTTTCTACATCTAACTTAATGGCTTGACATACTGTAGTTGACCTCAGGTCGACACAGGCAGCCCAGCTCAGTGGAGGAGTAACACAAACAAGATAAAGAGACTGCAGGAGAGCTAGTAGGTTGATTCAGCGATGGGTAAGGGGTGTTATTTTGGCTTGTCCCAGATGGTAAAATGGCCAAGGAATGAACATGTGTTGAAACTGATGACTGATGGTATACTACAGAAGAAACTGGCATTTGGGAGTGCATGAAGGAGTGATGGATTCCTGATGCAGGTGCCATCAGACTGCCCTTCAAGATGGTCTCTTTGTGCTGAATAATAACTCCACTGTATGAAGATGACAAAAGTATCGCATCATTTGTTATGGCAGTTCCTGATGACTCCAGAATAGAAGAGAGATTTGCAAAAAGTCCATAATCAGCATTTTCAAAATCCAAGGCATGACTACTAAAAACATTCAAGGAAGACACTTCTTCTCTGTGCTTGCTTAAGGATCCATACACCTCCCATTCCGAATCCCATTCAGAAAGCCTCAGTATGTTTGTTGATGTCAGAAGAGCAGAATTCCTTATGTTTTCATTATCACCAATGATTTCTTGTTCTACTGCCCACAGAGAGTATTTCAGACTGTCCCCTTGATTTTCAACAGAGTTTCGCCCTAAAACAGTTAGATAACTTCTTGGTGTTACTGTTCTTGGCTGGCTTAACTCTGCTATATCCTGCTGAGAGATCAGGCTTGGAGAAATTGTATCAAGATGGTTCTGAAAACTTTGTGGGAGTGGAGGTGTAGAGTAGCTGTTTGGAGGTACACTAACTCTGAATTTTGAGTCTGAATGAAGAAGGTGCCTTAATTCCATAGACAATGTAATTGGAAGGAAGTCAGAACTCACTGAAGTGATGTCTTCTAAAAAACGACCTGCATCTATCTGAACTTTACTTCTTGCTTTATCAGTAGTATTTGCTACAGCATCATTTGCTGAAAGACTTTGAGACTGCAGTGATACATGTGTTCTTGTACTATTTATCAAACTCTTAACTGGTGTATTGATCAAAAAAGTAGCTTGGCTATCCCCTGAACATGAAGGCTGGGTTCCCGAATGTGTTGGATAGACAGAAACAAGCTGCTGATTATTGTTTAGGAAGGTCATGTTGGTTCGATCACTTACTATGTCAGTTCCAATTTGCATGTGCAAACTATTAAATATCACTGATTTTTCTGTGAAGTTTTCAAGTAGCTTATCAAAGGGACTTACCTGTACCCGTACAGAGGGCTGACTCAAAGGTGCTTCCAGGGAAGGGAAGGGAAAATCAAAATAAAATTCACTGTTGGAAGACACAGTTAGGTTTGCAAAGTTCATTGTTGACTGCAACTGTGATGTTGTTCTGCCATTACTTTCTGAAATTCTCTTTAAAAGGCCTGGAATAAATGAACTAAAGATCTGTGTTTCCAAAGCTGATGCATGACTAGAGAAGTTCATTTCCTCACCCCCGTGACTTAATAATCTAATGGCAGATGTTTGTTCAGAGACACTGACAGACTTAGCAGGTGAACTAAAGGATGGCAATCTCTCTGTTGGGGAAGAAAGCAGTTTATTAAATGAGAGCCACCAATTTTCTGATGGCTCCCCAGAAAACATTTGAGATGTTTCTTTCAAATGATAGGAAACAGTCCAGAAATTTGCTGTTAAAGAAGGGGAAATATCTACATATTTTGTTGGAAAATCCAAGTCCCAGGAGTTGCCAACTATATTAATGTTCTCTGGCTCTAATATGGAAAAAGCTGACTCTTCATTTTCATTACTATCATGAAATGCACTTAAATTGTTTTCTCGTACTTCATTTCTAAGGGTGTCACTCGGCTTTTGAAAATATACTGCATGTTTTAAATAATGAGACCAGTAATTGCTATTAGATAGAAATATGTTGCCACTTTCCAAATATGCATCTGTCAACAATTGTTGATAAACAGGCAGGGTTGTTACAACTTGCGTAATTGTTGAGCTTGTCCAGCCTGTTCCTACCAGAAGGGTTGAAAATTTTAGCTCTCTACTGTGTCCTAGGACTGAATTTGTCAGTTGGATGTCAGGCATAAATTTTGTGTAAGGTTTTTTTATGTTTTGAAAAAAAGTTGTTGGGTTTGCATGTGGAGTCTCCACAGTGGTTAAATGTGTGATGCCTCCTGACTGATGTTCCTTAATGTGAGTGGATTTTCTAAACTGAAATACACTGTTTATTGCTAACACAGAAAAAGCTTTTCTGTCAGCATCGCCTTCTATAATTTCCAGGTAAACATTTTCAGGTGCAAAGTCTAGCAAATCTAGTGTACTTTTTTGGAATGATGATTTCTCCTCTGTAGGTGATATAGATAAGCTAGAGAGAGAATGATGTCTGTCTTCGTGAATGTCAGAGGTGATATGATGATGAAATGCAGTCTCATTCCACCAACTCAAAGGCTCCAAAACGTTGCTTATATGCATGAAATTGGTTCCGCTGCTGTTGGAGAATGAAATCCACACAGTTCCTTTTTTGTGTTCGTAAGCAGTGCTGCTGCTGCTAACAAGAGAGTGGAACACTGACTCTGAGTCAGAATGATCTAGCCCATCTGCCAAAGTCTGTGCTAGATCTGCATTAGGACTTGTGCTTTGAAGAAGAGGAACTGCTGCATTCACAGAAGGCTGTGTAACAGCATCTGCTGCATCAGAAGTGCCATGAAATGAACTTCTAGAATAATTCAAAATATTTTCATTTGGTAACTGATTCATCACAGTATTATCTAGGCCGATTTTTTCTGTAAAAGCAGCCAAGGTATCATTGCTGGTCTCCTCAGAAGCAGCTGATGTGGACATAGTTGGAAGAAACAAGCTGTACATGTTTTGTCTCTCTGGGTTCTCATCTGCTGAGTTTTTAGTGAAACGGAGAGGTCTGTGTTTCACTGGCCAGATAATTGGGGTTGAGATAATTCCTATGTTTTTGACCCCTTCTATCTTAGACTCTTGCTGCCTCTGTGGTCGTGAATAGGAGAATTCAGGTGAATTTCTCTTCATTCTGAAGATAACCGTAGCAGGAAGTCTGAATTCCTGCAGGTCTGTGTGTAGTAAGCCACATAGTTAACGGATTAAAAAAAATACATGTCACTTAACTGTCTGTTCTTGGCTGTCCGCTCTTGGTCTAAAAATCAACTTACCAAGAGTGGAAAATGACGCCAGTTAGCTGAGTGAAAGTTTAAATTGCTTCTACTGTAAATGAATTTGGCTTATTTTTCTTAGTCTTTCTACTTTCTCTTGAGAGTTTCAAAGGCAAAGAAAGGACTTAACTGTTCAGTTTTTATTCATACTAACATTAATAAGGCATTCAGTTCTTTCTGTAGCTACAAAAGTCAGCGTTAACTGCTCATGGTGAAGACAGAGTGAGTGGCTCCACACACACACAAAAAAAACCCAAACCCCAAAACAACAAACAAGCACAATTTGGAAGAAATCTTCAATATTTTCTTCTTAACTTCTACAGCTTAGTAAATCCAAACAGGCTGAACTCAGATAAATTCTTTCACATTGTCTACTGTACTGCCTGATTGCCAATATTCAAGAAATCTGCCAAGAGAAAAAATACTCCAAGAATTTTAAATGCTGCAGTAACAACTGATGCATTTGGAAAAGAAAAAGAACAAAAAAACCTCACAAAACACCTTCAGGTTCTATATTACTTCTATGGAGCACATTGCAAAAATAAATCTTTACAAAAAACATCTTTAAGCCTCAGATGAAAATTGCAGAAATCTATCTCTGTGTTGTTAATAACATTTAACAACTATCCTTAACAAACTAATAAATATTTTGGCAGCGCCTCACAAAATGATGCTCAGTCTCTAGGAGACAGTGATATCATAGAACTTGAGAAAACCTCAAAAGAAATCCTTGCTTTTTTCCTGTGCTAATAATAGGCTCATTTACAACCTTATTTTTTCCCTTAATCTTTCTAAATGAAAAGTAAACGATATCTTAATACTGTCAACATTTTCCCTAGTAAAGTCTGATCCAGCTCTTCTTGAAGTCAGTGGAAAGATTCCTGTTGACTCAGTGGAAGTGGCTTTGCTCCATAGGAACGATTCCACTTGGCTCCTGTGCCTGACTAGTGAGAAACAGACAATCCCAGCATACTACCACCCTGGCTGCATAAGCAGGAGCTACACATAATCTGCAGACTTAAAACATTTCAATAGCATGGTTCTTTTTGGATTCTTCTTAAAAATACCTCTCATTTCCCTTGCTCTTTGCACAGGTAAATATAATGCATGAGACAAAGTGAGTCCCTTTCATACAAGAACCATGATACAAATAAACACCGAGTTTGGTTCTGTTATCATTTACACCATTCTTACATGGCCCAGTGAAGTTGCTCCTGATTTATTTCAGTGTAAATGAGATCAGAACTGAGACAGGACCCTTGACATTATGATAGTATAAAAAGCACACTTTAAAATACAATAAATTTGCTCTACACAGAGTACAAGGAAAAATGTAACACAGGATTTCTTACCATTGTTTGGCTTATCGTTTCTATTAGTATCGGGCATGTTAGTGGTGACAGTGGGTGGTGTAGGAGTAGTAGCATTTACAGTAGCTGGTAATAAAGATGAGAAAGAGGTGAACTTGAATGAAATATGAATGTTAATGAGGTAAGACAAAATGGGAACAACGCATGACAATGTAAAACGAAACCATCTACACACAATGCCATAAATGTTAAATAAACACATTATTTTTTCCTAGACAAAGTGATGAGTGGATATGAACTGAAGTGCCAATCCTGCAATCTTCACTTTCACTGACTTCAGTGGGAGTTTTGCCAGTGTAAGGGTTGCAAGATCAGTCCTGTACTGCTTTCTTAAACTCAAAATCCTCTAATGAGAACTTCAGATCCAAATAGCTGTGCAAAGACCAGAAAACAGAACTTATAGGTTCTTAGATGCATGCACTTAGAATATTGCTTGTGAAAAGAATAATTCTCCCTACTCAGAGACTGAAGATGACAAACAAATGTGAAACTAAAACACCCATGTAAGGATCCAATTAACTCCATTGAACTCCATACATTGAAGAGAATCGAAATCAGACTTGGAATGACTGGAGTGGAATATATATTTTGAAGGCTTCATGTAGGATCTCAGCTGTACTCTTCCCACTGACACTAAAAGGAGTCATCCCACACCAAACCCTGGCCAATGTTTCCCAGGAGAACCAGCTAGAACACTTTTCAAACTTAGAGTGAGGAGCCAAACTGCACATTTCCCCCACAGCAGACTGGGAGGGTACATATGCTAGAGGAATTCAAAGATCATGCCACTAAATTTTCAAAGAATAGTTTGGAAAATAATTTTTTAATTTTATCTAGTAACTCCAGGGAATGCAAGTCCACTCACTGACTGGCTTATTTTTTCCTGAAAACTCTTTTTAAAATGTGAAGCTTAGTGCAGTATATTCTTACAGTGTTTACATATCTTTTCAAAATTTTGACCAAGAACCAACCTGGAAAGGTTAAGCAATTGCATTTTAACCAAGAAACTGCATTTTCTATTTTTTATGAGGTTGTTTTAGCTAACCTTTTGAGTCTGAAAGTCAAACTCAGGTCTCAGCTTTGGGAACAGGTTCATGTTCAGGTTTCAGTGAAACAAGAAACTTAGTGAAAGAGAAGGATGAGTTGGAGACTGTATCAAACAGGTTCTAACTGGGAAAGTGAATATATTAAGGGACACCTTATAATACAAAAAAGCTCTTCTTCCATGTAACTTCAGGGCTATACTGTCTGAGAGACGAGTTTTAAGGCTACTTACTGATTGCATCTTCCAGCTAGCACTGTGTTAAAGGAGGCATCTTCCAATGAATTAAAATATTTGCTAAGCATAACGGAGAAAATTGTTCTTTCATCAGACTCTTAACTGTCATATGGCATCTACAAACTCTGTTACTGGTGCCATTGCACAACACACAACAAACAAACAAAAAAAGAAACCAAACTGGCCTCTCAGTTTAAAATAAGTCTGTAGCACTGACAGAAATAGACAGACATCTTTTTAAGATTTTCACTATTATGACAATAATGATGATAATAAGGAACAGAGTCAATCTGATCTGCCACTTACAAAGTGACAACCAGTGACACTTTACCAAACACTTTTCAGAGAAGGAAAGAATATTACCTTCGTGAAAGTATTCATAGTGTTTATTGAAGATGTGATGGTCTAAGAAGTTAAGAGAGGCAAGTTTGAAAGGTAGCATCTTTTATTAGAGGCATTATCTTCTACTAGACAGGTTAATAAAGCTGGAAAAAAGGATGAGGCTTTTAGAAATGCAGGCTTGTTTTGCTCAAAGTGTGTCCATTTCTGCACCCATATTAGTGGATCTAACGGAAGATATTCTCTCTCCTTTCACATCATTACATTTTGATAGAGGAAAACTCTCAGAGTTCTTCCAAGAGAATACACAAAGATCTTTATATGGTAGCTGTATTAGCCTAAAAAGACTAATGCTGAATAATTGTTGCTGTTGCATTTACCTAAGGTATACCAGTAGTAGTGTTTAGATAAAATTGTGCTTTGTGAATGTGATACCTAAAAAACACTGTTTGAAATCTGATTATGGACATAACTGGTATTTCAGTTTCCCTGTGGAGACCAGTACAATATGCTCCAAGATCCTGAACCAAATTTACCTCAGGAAAATCTGGAAGTACACTGAAGACTGACATAGATCTCTTACTGGCTTCCCAAGTAGAATGCATTTTACTTTTTATTTTTAAGCTACACATTTACTTGTGTATGTCAGTTTGGAAAGAGTTCTGAGACCTCCTCCTCCCCTTTTATATTTTATTCTCTCCTATCTCTATCCTCCACCATTCAGCCTGAAGACAGTTATGGAGCTAGACATTTCTGGTGCAGATGCTGCTGTGGTTAAAGTTAAACATAGGATGTCACCTCATTAGCAGGTCTATGTTCATGAAGGTATTGTGGAAATGGGCTGATGTTGTTCACATCAATAATTTTTATAGAACTTCAGCCTCTAAGCAGAGTAGAAGGAATTAAGTGTCCTTGCATGTCCAATAATTCACACGGCATGGAAATCTTTAGGCTTCACCTATTCCTTGCATTCAACTGAGCTGACCTTTCAAAGAGACCTTATGAATTCTTGTATATGGTGACTTTTACAATATTAAACCATCACTAAGTGCTGTAACAAGTGTTTCATTAATTAATAGCTGCTGGATTTTGCACTTTGATATTAGATTTTTACCCGCTAATCTCAAAGTATCTAGCCTCAAAATACCTTATTAGAAAAAAATGAATAATAGTCAGTTCCTTTCTGCTCATTTTTCGTTTACAGATATACCCACTTCTTATCCTGGTTAATATTTTACTGTCAAAATGTGCAGGAGGAAAAGAGGTGGAGAAAGAAGTGAAAGCAGTCGATTAATTCAGTTTTGGTATAATGGACACTACTTGGAAAATGCATTATCAAGGGAGTTATCACATTTTTTACATGTATTGTACGTACAGGACACCCACACACTTGATGAGACTAAGGAATTTCTTTCCTTGCTATTTTTTATTACAGTTCACCCTTTTAGAAAAATAATAAAAAATAAATTTAATTAAAAATCAAGGACAATCAAGATTTAACAAAGATGAAACTGAAAATGACCTGGGCTTCTTACCTTGACAAAGGCTTCCCAAGTTTGCACAACTGGTTGGTTCAATTGCTGAAGAGGGAATTAGGTATGAGCCTTTAGAAAAAGAAAGTAAAATAATTAGAAAAGTTTGTCTATTAGGCAAAAAACTACCATGTGTCAAAATATATCTTGCAGTGATGCAGTCCTCTTCATAATTTCTCTCAGTGGCAAAACCACTATTGCCATTTGCCTGTTAGACTTATGTGTTTTCATTTTCTGTTGCAGCTGAAGGATCCATGAAAACTTTGCTGACTTGCAAATTACACTCACGTAACCTCCTCCAGTTTCTTAGCTTTCCCTAAATAACACCACATTAAATGAATGCAGTTTGAATGTACTCTGTGAAATGGCTTTAAATGGAGGGGTCAGTATGGCCATGGGATTTATGCAGTCTTCATGAGCAATAATGCACGCCTTGGAGAAGCAGCCATGCTCCACTGCCGTAGCACAGATTACCCACCACACACTTCTGAGTAATCTGTCTGCCAGATGAAAGGTGATTAAACTTGTCCCTCTGCCCAGGGTGTGGGTGTGATGAACATTCTGGTATGCATGATTTATAAGCAGATAATGTTATAAGTCTGTACCTCTACTGAATTATTCATAACAACATGCACACACTTTGATGATCTGGAGACAAAATCAGGACATATAAGAATGGCTATAGAAAAAGAACTGGTGAAGCTGCATTAATTACACTTTGTGTATCCCAGTGGTTCAGCTGCAGATACAGCTGCTTTTGCACACTGTGTTGAAAATAATGGGGCCATAGAGCATGGCATAATCTGAACCTAATGGGAGCGTTGCCCTTTTGGCTTTTGCTTTACCACTTCAGAATCATACCGAGTCAATGAGGTTCTCTCATGAAACACTGCATCCTTCCATAAAATTAAAGAGCCACCACCCATCAGCTCATAAAGATAGCTAGGAAAGTATTTCCTGTGATGCAAGAACAGATGAAGCATGGGGCCTCAACACAGAAATCATGTCATGCCACAGATACCATTACATTTATTACTGACAAAAATAGGGCAGAATTTAAAAAAATGTGATCCTCAGCAAACACTAAAGCTCGGCATTTTTTTTTAATGGATTAAGACATACAGGCAAATTCACTTCCTTGGTGCACTTCCTATGAACTCCAGGAAGGATATTCTAAGTGAATGTACCACCTCCTGAGTGAGATTTTTTTTTTTTTAAATATATTTGCTCACACTAAACAGTCAATATCAAAACCTGCTGTAAATTATCTCCTCTTGGTTCTGTGTCATGGAAAGATCACCTAAAAGTAGGCTTGGAAGATCTGTGGACCTTCATATTACTTCAGTGAGTATTTAAAAAAAGATCATTACTTTATGTGGTGAAACTAAAAAAAATCCAACCCAACTTTACAAAACATTTAAGTCAGAAGACTGTATACTTTTAAGAGGAATATTTTCAGTGAATATATTCAATAAGCTTTTTTAAGTTCTATTTGGCTTGAATTCCACCCAGACTAGACTTTTCCTAAGTGTCCACTAAAGAAAATATAATGATTTGGATTCAAACAGATAACTGACATAAGCTACTTTATGAAGTTAAGTGGTATAGTCAGTAATGTGAATCACAGATATGGACCTGTATTACAGACACTTTATGTGATATATCTCACTCACTTCAAATGTCTGAAACTCAGATATCCGTATCTGCTTGTCATGCTAGACTTTCTTTATAGTCAGTGAAGAGGAACAGGCACTCCTACAGCAAAAAAACTTCTGACTTCACTGAGACATCTCCAGTATGAGATGCACTGACCTTCGGACCAGCCTTTTTCATTCTACTATTCATCAACAGCACTCAGGTCAACTAGCTCAGACTGAAACATCATTCAGCTGTCTAAGACAGACAGATCCCACCCTGAGTTAAATCAGACAGTGAAATGAAGGTTTCCTCTGGCTTTGAAAATGAAGGACTCGCACAAAGTGTACATGAAGCACATGCAATTGCAGGCATGGACAGATATGTGGCCATGTTACCCTTAAACTGAGTAGAGCGTATCCTGTCACAGGTGTAGCCAGTGCAGGCTCCAAAATCAGTTGATTAAATGCTCCTGGTTTGCCTGCACTGAGCTCTGAACTGGTGTTGTTACACCACTATCATTACTGAGGCCACTTGGTTTAAAATTAGTCTGGATACCCATGCTGTGTACATATACCTTTAAATGCAAGCTGTGAGAAGGTAGGGCAATAAAAACAGAATTCCAACAAGTCTTCCAGAAACACCCCACCATGATTGCACAGCTGTGAAAACATTAGTCTAAGGAATAAACTACAAGAAGGTAAAACTATGAAAAGATTATCTGGAACAATTTGCCAGTGTTTTTATGCTCTGTAAATCTACTTGTAAAAGCTTTGTCTGAAAAACCATGAATAATAATACCCCTTGAAAAATGTAAGCACTGTTCAGGCACAGATATCTGAGATAAAGCTAAACGCTTGGCTTGTTTTGGTTTTTTTTACGTTATATGCCACTTCCTGGGGAAGCTTTAGTAGAGCTGTGTGAAAATCTCCTTTCTGCTTAAATCCTTCCATTGCTGCTAAGTGAAGCTTAATCAGTTAAGAGTCATCTCCCCACTGTCAGTGGCTCATTCATGGTTGATAACCTGACTCATTAACTCTCCTGTTGAAGGCTGGTTTTACAATGAACGCTTTTATTCAAGAAAATTAAGGGAAGACAATTCTAACAATTCCGTCTCTGGGATTAGTCACTGTTTTTGAAATGGCACTGCACCCGGTATTTTCTTTTAGGAAATACTCTGGTCTGGTTCAGGAAAGCCTGTATCATGGGGAGTAATTTAACATCTTTGAAAGAAAAAGACTGACTAGTAAGTTAGTTTTCTCACAGGCTTAGTTAGAGGAAACAACAATGCTTATATAAAGATACATTTGAAATGGCTTGTATAGACACCTGGGCCTAACTTACAAACACTGATACATGTTTTCAAAAATGATGTTCTGCTGCAAGAAAACCACTGAACAACATTCCAAGGAATAAAGCTGTGGAATTAAAATAAGTGTGTTGTTTCTATGACCACAGAGGTGGCATTACAGTTGTGTTACAGGATTGTACAGTCTTCAACAGAAAGAAGGACAAGACCTGTACTCCAGTCAAAATTAAATGAGACAGCAACATTTACAGAGGTCTGGGTAGGTTGTTTAGTAAAAATGCTGTGGTAGTCTTCACAGTATAACAGTGTAAGAGGAATAAGATTTTCTGGGAAGTTTTCTGTCAGATCAGTTTATACTGATGGAAAAGTAACAACTTTTTTGTCTATAATGCCTTCATTACTCATGGTCAATGTTTAAAAGTCTTTACTTTGGTCTGGTAGAGGGGTGAAAGTACCTAGTCGCTTGTGTTTTTATAGAGGTGTTGCTTAAATATTTTTAGCAGAGGCATGCTGAGTGCTGTCCCTGTGAGTCTAGCTGTGAGCAAGTACCTCACGCTTTGGTTTGAGTAAACAAAAGCAAGTAAGATGGGTTTTTTAGCCACCTTAATCCCTCATGAGCTCTTAGATACGGAAACTACCACGCCTTAAAGATTCCAGCTTCTGTTTTAAGCTAAGGATTCTCAGAGTGCTGACAGATGTTCTGTCAGGAGATGCTTCTATTGACACTATTTAAACTATGTTTAAACTAGTAAGTAGTAAGGGGAGCAAGAAGGCAAAATTGGAGAGGACACCACCACATATGGAGACCACACGTGGTTCAGAAATAATAAATCATAGAATCATAGAATGGTTTGGGATGGAAGGGACCTCAAAGATCATCTAGTTCCAACCCCCCTGCCATCAGCAGGGACACCTTCCACTAGAACAAGTTGCTCAAAGCCTCATCCAGCCTGGCCTTGAACACTTCCAGGGAGGGGGCATCCACAGCTTCCTTGGGCAACCTGTTCCAGTGTCTGACCACCCTCACAGTGAAGAACTTCTTCCTAATATCTAATCTAAACCTACCCTCTTTCAGTTTAAACCCATTTCCCCTTGTTTTGTCATTAACTGCCCTTATGAAAATTCCTTCCCCAGCTTTCTTGTAGGAAATAAATATTTGTAACTGTTTACTTTTTTTTTTTTTTTTTTTTTTTTTTTAAAAAAATATTTTTTTTTTTTTTTTTTTTTTTTAACAAATGTACATTTGCTACAATAGGAGGGTTGAAACTCTGTGGACATGGAGTTTGACAGCAACTGATTTTCTATTGCTGGCCATGATTCAGATTTTCCCCTATACATTTTATAATTATCCAAACATCTCTAAAGTTGTTACTAACCAAAACATTATTATTATTATTATTAGTAGTAGTAATAATAATAATAATAATAATAACACTGTCCAAAGTTACAAAAATTTTCAGTTTTGATTTTTTTTTTCATCTGGAAAAAAATGAGCCAGTGGAAAATTGTCGACTAGCTGTAATAACATATACATATATAAAAATTACACCTGGACATTTATGAGAATCAAGTGCCTGAGCCATGAAATGAGAATAGGTTGGACAATGTATTGAAATTTATCGTCTGGGATAATCTACAGGAAGAAAGAACTTCAGAAATTAAAGTGAAAAGAAGGACTGATAATATGTCGTCAGGAACATAAAACCCAATGATTTTGATCTAAAACCCTTCCTTCCAGTCTGCCTCCTCTACTTTAATCTTTTCTCATATTTTTCTGTCCCATATGCATTTTTGTCACTGCTTTTGTTGGCTCTGCACACATAGCACAAGGCTAGCAAGTGCTGCTACTGGCTAATCAAAGGGCCAAAGGGCACGTACAAAAACATTTACTAAATAGTTAGTCAACACGAATTTTCTTCTCCAGAGACCACTGTAATCTTACTTGAGGCTAGCAGGTATTTTGCCATAATCCCCATTTCGAATGAGTAGAAGGCCAATAAACAAACTGTTCAGGAAAAACTTTGATCTGCAGATCATTTCAAGCAGCAACTCAATATACTTAGGGGACTTGTTTTTTTCCTTTAAGGAATCAACTCTGTACCCTTTCAAAGCCTCTCTGTATGGTAAGAGTTGAGCTAAAGTCTAAGAAAGTTAAGACTTAGCTGTTTTTCTTTCACAGGAACTCTTTTTTTTTTTTTTTCCCCTGCTGGGGTATGATATATCCAGCACAATGCAGAAGTGTGGGGGGAAAATAAGCAAAAAGATTTGGCAAGGCATACTCACCACAACTCAAATTGTTTTCTGCTTTCAGTGCTGAAGTTGGAATACTCCAGAATTCATTTTCCCAGTCTACAATGTTTCCTTTCACATCGCAGCTGAGGTTGGCCAGTGTTTGCGCATTCATGGTGAAATTCCAGAGGCGGAAGTTGTAAATGTCCCCATTTAGAGAGCTCACTTCATTGCTGTTAGAGCCCAGCACCAGCCTCCCGTTTCCAGGGATAACTTTGCCAAAGATACCCGGACAGTACACTATATGATAGGTGCTTCTGGCATGTACACCTATACTGCCCGAGAAGCTATCTCCTACGACACAGAGCTGTTGAAATGTTCCCGTGAAAAACTCTCCATTTCGGGGTAATGCATTCTCAAGGATGCATTGCGTGCCTGAGATGAACAGAAAATGGCCTTTTGTGGTCTTCCCAAAGCTGAAGAATTCTGTCGACGATGCATCGGTGTAGGAGAAAACCTTCCAGTCATCGTTGTCATCGCTACTGCCCTTGGTTGCTTCAAAGCACAGTGTAAACTGGCTAAGCTCTGGCACTGACACAGTCTCTGCCACAGACACAGCATCGACATCGGGAGCCTGGGGAATTATGACTTTCTGATTCCTCAGAGACACAGCAACTAGAATGAAAAACAGAAAAATAAATTAACAAAAAAATAAATTAATCATATAGAAATTAAGGCAGAATGGCAGCAGGGGTTAAAGTACCATTCATCAGGTGGTTTTTATCGCTGTAATACACCAATAGCACAGCCGGGGGGGAATTTGGCTTGGGAGTGCACTCAGCTGAAAATATGCAAATTTCCTTTTCAACAGCATGGGGAATGCTGTGCTACACACAGTTAACAACCCCTCAAGTTGCATTAAAAGCAATATTAGGACATATTACCTAGTAACTTCCAACTCTGTCTCAGTGCACTTTATAAAAATTACTACTCATTCATCTAGTAAGGATGCATTAGGCAATGGAATAAACCAGTTATTTGCAAAACACAGCATGACTTGCTTTTAAGATATATTATTTTAATTACTTGTCTGCGTGATTGCATTACACCAAAGAAGTTCAGGCCTTGCTTCTTTTAACTATTGCAATAGAAGAAAGCCTCCGCTACATTCCTTGGCAAACTGAAAACTTTTGCTCCTGAATTCAGCTATTGGGTTTCTACAAAGCATTAGGCATTTTCTAATTCTGTCCCCAGCAGCCTTCTGGTTGAATAAGGCAACCGCATGTTCATGGACATTTATATCCAAGTTGTTCACTATTTGCTAATATTTCAGTCAGCAGTTTTGGATTTTGCATAAGTATCTAGAAATGGCTAGTCCTCTTGCAAATACCTGCTGCAGTAAGGGTAGTTAAGCACGGACAGAATTACTCTGTCTCTAATAATTATTAAATATTCTCATTTGCTCTGGCTAAATGGCAGTCACCAAATATGAAAAACAGTATTACATGACATATGATTTTTCTCCATGAGTCTATTAATGAAAAATCTGTTCACACTACTTTGGAGAACATTCTTTTTCAAAATTAAGTGCCAATAGACTCGTTTTATTGGGACATTTATGGCAGCAAAATTCTTCTAGCAAATTTTTCCACAGAAAGAAGTTTCAGGTTATCGGTCATGCAAAGGCATCGAGGTCAACAAGACCAGATTGCAGCAGCCCTTAGTTTTAATTCTGGCTCTGCAGGTCTTCAGCAGACATCTCCAGCAAATGTCTGCTACTTTTTTTTTTTTTTTTTTACACATTTTCAGTGTATATGCTGGAAGTGAAACTGCTTTTTGCTTGACCTGAAGAATAACTGACGCAATAGTTCATTCCTCGTCTCCCTGGGGATTTTTAAGTGATGCAACAACACATACATTAATTACTACACAGATTCCCTTCTCAGAATGAAATAAAAACCTTTCAAAATGAGAGGGTGAGATATGTAAGAGAAGGGTGACTGTCACACCACACTCAGGAAAAGAGACAGATATATGGGGTATAAGGATTCTGTGTAGTCTGTGGTATTGCAATTTCCCTTTGCCAGCTGCTTGCAAAGACTATGAGCTCCAAAGTACCGTATTTGGATATACACAAGGACATAATTTGACCAGTATATTATACAGTAAAATAACTTAAAACATTGCACATTATCCACCAAGCCAGCAACTAGAGGGAAGAGAGAAAAATACTGGGCTTTATAATTACTGGATTTACTTCATAGATTTTTTTTCTTTCCAAGGGCAAAAGTATGTTGTAACAATTTTATAGATAGAAAATGTGTTCAACTCTCCATTGAAAACAGTGGCATTTTTTTCCATGGGTTAATTATACTGTAAGCTTTTTTACATAACATGGAAAGTGTTCCAGAAGAAGTATAAGGATTCAGGACTTGAAAAAGAAGAAAGCTTATTTATACAAGCACTGTCCAGCCTGTGTTAGGGTGGTCAGGAGATTTATGGATCACCTGGTCACACTTAAACAGTATAGGAAGAGAAATAAACAGAGAGGACACTGCTCTGGTACTGAACAAGTCTACTCAACTTGCTGTACTCATCTGACAGATTTAACCACTGGCACCTTTCCCATACGAAGAAAGGACAAAACTGACAAGTATTTTGTCCATGTGGAGAAAACAGGATCCTGCCATCAACATCAAGCACAGATCACTTTCCTGATTACTGTTGCACAGCCAGTCATCATACTGATGAATTTCAGATGTTAGTATTGGAGAAACTGGTTATTCTCTGAGGAAGAATATATTTATCTTCTTGGAATATTAATCCAAGTGTTTAGACTAACTTTCAGAATGATGTTAAATCATTTCTGTTAGGAAGATAACTGGATTACAATGAACAGGGGTTCTTTTGGACACATTGCTATTTACTCATGAAGAATGTACAAAAGTCTTGGCAGCCCAGACACAGCAGGAGCGATCAGCAACAGGCAGCTCACTGTTCTGAGATCCACATCTGCTTTTACGGGAGCACTGGGATGACACGAAGCCTGCCTCTGCTGCTTTTTAGAGCCCCTAGCTTACTTGCAGCTCACTGTCTTACATCTCAAACGCCCCTTTACACATAAGCATGCCAGAAGTCCCTAGGTGATTGTATTTTACAATTCCTTGCAAGGAAAACTGCTCTGCTGCCAGTTGATGGGCTTTTCAGCATAGTCTGATGCTTGAGTGTTGGCTTCTGCTGTTCTTAGCTTCACTGCTTTCATCTGCCCTTTCACTGATGCTGGAAGAAATGCATCAACTTTAATGATGTCTTCAAGTTATCTACATACCAAATACCTGCTTGAGTTTTTTGTGACTAGTGCACTGAACTGTGCTTTTAATCTGGACTACTGCAGTACTACTCAACTGTGTGCTAATTTTACATTATATTGTCTCAAGCATTTCTGTACTAACAGAGGTCTGTTGGCTCTCCTCTCTCTCCTTTTGGTGACTGAGCAACTTTTACTCACCAGTGGAGCTATTACTTACACAGTTAACTAATACTAGAAAATTATTTAACAGGCTAGCTCTTCCGCTGGTGTAAATTGACTAGCAAAGCTGTATTCATTTACAGCAGCTGAGGATACAGCCCATCCATCTAATGGTGTGTTGTAGCAGGTGACAACCAGGAAAGCCAACATTTTTGTGGGCAGCCAACTTGTTATGGATAACAGGACGTGCTCTGTGAAACTCAGTTTGAAACTGCTCCTGCATGAAACCAAGCTGTCACACAAAAGCTGTTCTATTCTTGGCTAATTCCATCCCAAAACTTACTTACTCTTTTATATTTGTCTTTCCCCACATATATTTTGTCTTGTGTACATACTGTATATTAGGATGTAGCATTAATGTCTTTTTAAATGTCATTTCTAGATAGCAAATTGCTATGTGTCTTTGAATAGCCCTTTACTTTCCAACTTTGCACTACTTTGTGAAACTCAAAATTGAACAAACTACTTAATTTTATTATTTACATATGAACACTTCTGAGAAATGAAATAAAATACGAATACAACACTTCCCCTCACTCTGGAAGAAATTAATGATTTCGCCTAGGTATCACGTTTGTAGTAGTAACAACGGTGTAAGCTTGACAAAGGAGCTTTGAAACTCCACTGGGGACCTGAAGCAAGGGGATCTGCAATCTCTCTGATGGCTTTGAGAACTCTTTGCAAGGACAGGAGAGTGTAGCACTGACATTTGCTATGCAGATGTGACATAATTTCAGTGTGTGTGTGCATTGAGTCCTATTGTCTACATGCTTTTATAACTTGAAAGGAAAGCAGTGTATTATCATCCCTTTACCAAGCCCTTTTTCTGTATCCATTGCCAGGTTATATGTTGCCATGATTTTTGTAACTAACTTCTGAATACAATGTAATTGCACAGCTGTGGACAATAAGTAGAATATAGTTGTAATTTTCCCTAGATGCATGCAGCTAGCTCTCCTGGTATCCATGGTCAAAATCAAGATATCAGGTGAGAGTTACAGATTTGGAATCTTGAAACAATATTCAGCAGTCTTAGTCTAGATGCTTAACAGCAAGCCTTAACAGAGAGTTTCTGAACTAATATACATGTGAAACATTAGAATATGTCACTGGTGAAAGTCTCTCGATACCTTTATTCACACTGGGAAGTAGTCATCTTACTCAAAATTAAAGGATATCTTCCAAGGCTATTTAACTTTAATGGTGCTGTCCATGAATGTAAGGTACTATTCAATTTGGCATTTAAGTAATATTTTTGCTTTCATAAAAATACATTACCTATAGGTATATATACATACAGATGGTTCTCTGACTATGTCTGTGGACCTTTCTTCTCCTCCTCAATGAACATATCCGAGGGCAACACTGCATCTTTCAATTGTAAGTTGTCTTATCCCTTACAGTTATACTTAAACATTAAAATATTAAAGAAGGATAAAAAATAAATCATTTTGCATAATCTGATTGCATATCATTTTTTTGTGATCCACTTGATTTTACAACTTCTTACAACACACACAGCGAGAGCTGTTATTTCCAAAAAGAAAAAGACTTTCAGAAAATTTGCTTCCACTTTTAGAAGACAACAGGTGCTCCTAGAATTATTACTACATTCATTTTGTCAGCATGAAAGGACCTCAGTAGAAAGAAGTATTTTTATTTACCTTTATTCTTTTCAGAACTGCACACAAATTTTGCTGGCATAATCAGGACTACTTTAGTCTTACGATTCCTGGGGGTTACTATCTTAATTATTTTAAAATATGATATGTGTAATACATATTCTTTTTAAAAAATATCACGAGGAAGATATGCTTGTGACTGAAGAGATAACTGCAAACACCCCTGCCCTGCATTTCTACAGCAGCCAGCCAATCAACAGAACATAAGCATGGTACAATAATATAAATGCTCAATGCAATACTAGTATTCAGTCTAAGGTGTGTGACTTCAACAAAAAAAAAAGACTACTGTAAACTATGACCCTGAGGTGGAATGAATGGGGCCCCTAAGTGATCATCCTAATGCCATCTTGTTACCTCACTACCCTTTATTGTCATGTGAGAGTAACTTCTAATTAATGCTTTAAACAACAAAACAAACATCAATCACACGTTATTTGCACCCTCATCATCTAGGGAAAAAAGCATGAACATATTTTTTTTTCTGCAGTTGTTAGGCTTTTAAAAATCTAAGCATTGTTGTGCATTTAAGGAAGGGAAAGAAAGGTCAAGGACCTGGAATGAAAGGTAGCCATTTTGCAATGCCAGTTCATGTCTTGGAGTTTGTTCTAGAGGCTGGACGAACCGTTGAGAACTTCTGCCTTCAGCACAGACTCCTCCCCTCCTTCCCACTGTTGGGCATTTCACTGGGCCAGAGGTCCAGGCTAGCCTTGTTTCTGGCTCAACTAAGGTCTTTCTTATGCTGTCTTTCAGGTTTCTATGTCCCTCTGCAGGTATGCTGAGCTGAAGGACCAGTGTCCTGCTTACAAACCCTCCTGTATAAATCTGCAGGGAGAGGCACTGTTAGGCCTAAAATCTTTGCATGTGAAAAGTTTTTCTAACACACTTAATGTCTTGTTGCAGAATAAAATAATGTCTTTTCATCCAAAGAAAAAGATACTAGTTAAAAAAACTCTCTAGTTTTACCCTGCAGCCTCCTCATCCTTTCCCTTCTCATGGAGGATTTGATTCCTTTGGGAAGTGTTTTTCTAATCCTTATAGGTCATTTCCTTCTAACATCTGTAAGAAGGATGAAATGCTTTAGGTTTACTTACTTCGTACATAGCTGGCATTAAAACCTTTCTTTTGGATACTGAAGTCACTTTTAAATGACACAATCATTTCATTTCCAGTAGAGTTATAGGATAATCCTTTGGCAGTGATGCCACAAAGGTTCATTGGGCTTTCTCCATTGTCTAATGTCAGTGAGTCATAAATGCAGCCCGGAGCTTCTTCAATGTCAAAATCTATAAATGTTAGCTGTATGATGAATCCATGAGGTGCTCGGATGATCCACTTGCATGCTTGGCTGTTGGGATAATCACTGGGGAAGCACGGAGAAGTGAAAACTCCAGAGGGGTCAGTTAGCATGATCCTACAGTCATAGCATCCATGAGCTGGCAATAAAAACAGAGAAAGGCTGGAGGTCAGGAAGAGAGATAACTTAACAGGAAAGTAATCATCAACACAGTAACTAAATGTATTTCCATACAGGAAAACATAAACAAAGATAGGAGGAAGAAAGGTAAAAAAAGGCCTGGTTTCTAGTGGGCAAAATGCTGGAGGAATAGTACAGCAAAATAATATTTCATATGAGAAATCCTACACAAAAGAAATATAAATTATACTGCTAAATATTTGTTTGTGCACACAATATATATCTGATATGTATATTGATCTGACAAAGGCAAAGCAAAAGCAACATTTTTGAATTCAGAAAGGCAAATGAATTCTTAAAACAGCAACTTCTAAAATGATGACTGGTATCATTAACATTTTTTGGCTGCTGGTCTGATGCTGACTGGTGGCTATTCCAGCAGCTCTATGCCATGCTATTGTTTCCAGTGGAATGTCCCTGGAATGCAGCAGCAGAAGAGATGGGCTGAAGAGCAGCAGAAGCAGCAGCCCTACAGAGTTCTTGAGGGTTAGTCATCAGCATTTCCGGCAAATGCTCTCCACATCGCCCAGAAGGGTAGCAGCAAGCTACTGGCTTTTGAATCAACAGCAAATTACTGCACTCTTCTCATGCTGACTCAGCTCCATTGACATATTTGTGGCAGTCAGGCTCTAAGAAATTCTTATCCTGTTCCTCATATTCCTTTGCTCACCTGCTGTAGTCATCCACAAGAATTTCAGGACCAGCTAGTCCCCAGGGTGGCTTTTCTTGTTTAGTTTACATTTACTCATTTATTATATATTTACTTAGTTTATTATATGATATAATTACCATGAAATGCCTGCTGCTAAAATCTTTAAGAGTTTGCCAAAGCGACACTGAACAAACTAGGTGGGAACTGAATATCACCGATCGATAACCAAAGAAACTAACTGGCACCTTTATGCTAAATTACTTTGCAAACATTTCATCAGGCCACAATCCCACATCCAGTACTACAAATATGGAAAAAAAAAAAATAAAAAAAAAATAAAAAAAAGGACAATGTGAACATGTATTATTAGTTGCCTAAGCTTAAAGCAACTAAAAAAATTGTCAAGTGTAAACGACATATGGAGCAGCTATAAAATAGGAATAAACGGAACAAACTTCTTCAAAGAGCCCTCAATGTTTCTTTCCACTGCTTGGGTCCTGTTATTGTTCAGTCACATTCAAATGGTGCTTGGCCTAAGCAATTGGACCTTGACTCTGTGGAGTGGAATGGCAAAAAAAGAAGCAGTTTACATCTGCAGGGAAAACTGAAAGGTGTGTTTTACAGAGTTATTATAATTTTTATTTGCAAATCACAAATTCATATGGCCCAAAAGAGGTAAAGATACTACTAATTAATTGGGCTCTCAGAGCCAAATACAGGCTGGTTACTTTAGAAAAGAGCAGTGCGATGTTTATTTGTTCAAATGAGGAAAAAGAAAGATTGTCTGAAAGATCTGCAAGTAGCTTGGGGAAGAAGTGGTGCTCATGATATTGGAAAGCTTCATCTGTGTAGTACAAACAGGAGCCTGTCCACTCTTAATTTCTCTGCAAATCTTTACAGTCAGAGGACTATGCTCACCTGCCCCAAAGCCCCGCTGTTCCATTTATTAATCAAAGAGGGAATATTTACTTATTAGTATAGTGACTATAAATCCTGCGGTTGTACAAACAGATGACAGCTTCAACCAGAGCATTTTGCACAGATAGGTATCACTTTTCAGAGAACCACCCTACAGTGAGAGGGGGAGGAACAGGAAAAGCACAGTCTAAGCCACAAGCCATTGCGGTCTCCTTGTCCAGGGCGAGTGAGCCTCTCTGCACGGCAGAGAAGCCCTAAGACGGCTCCCGCTGGAGCTGCTTCCAGCTGGAAGGCTCAGTGATTCACACTCCTGCCTCCGTTAGTGCTACGATGAGGGCTACAGGGGCTGAGGAGCTGGCAGCACGCCACACCCACTCTCCTACTCATTCCTGATAGAGAAATAAATGATGCAGAGCTATCTGGGGTAGTTGAGAGCTCTCCCTGTGCATCCAGATGGACCTGAAGGCAGGGACTAAGCTGTTAAATGATATATACATAGCAACATGGGTGTACACTCATTCAGCCTTGGACTCCTAAAGTAAATCTTAAGGGCATTATAAAATATTGCTGAATGAGAAAAAAATATACCACTTGTCAGTAAAAGTGTATCTTTCAAATTGGTAGAATATTAAATTCAACTTGAAACTCGAAAACTCAAATTTGTCCATCAAAAAGAGTGCAGACATTCTTAAGCTTCCCTTTATTAATTCTGTTCATCACTATCAGCCAAAACAGGACTCAGCTCTTCTATTTATCTCTCTCTTGAGCATTTATTGTTGTGTTTAAGCTGTATAAAAAAAAGTCAGTACACATAACAAAAGTACTTTTATCCCTGCTGTCTGTCACTGTAAAGACTAAAACGTAAATGTTATTTATGTTACAGTTTTTTTTACTCATTTAATCTTTTAGCTAATATATTCTCACTTTATTATATCCATATTGTTTTGTTGAACTAACGCAAAAACACAGCCCCTAAATTTAGGTAGGAAAATAAGTCCTCAAAACTTTACATACACAGAAGAAACAGATTTGGTGAGCAAAATAGTTTACTTTTTTGAAGTGGGTTGGCTCCATTTTGGCATAGTAGCTATTCTGTCTATGACTGCAATTTGAAGGCAAAATATCCTGTTTTCATGCAAATGTCCACAGTAGTAAGTAAAAAGAAAAGAAAACAAATAACAAAACTATATATAAACAGAATGGTTTTGAATGGAACTTTTTGCACAGCTTCTCATGAGACAGTTATTTTTTTTATGAACACCACCTATTTTACTCATTAAAAAGAAAAATTGCTGCGGCAACTTTAGGCTGTCAGCCAAAGCTGACAGATATTTTGCAATCCCATTGGCCCAGAGCAGTTCTGAACTGTGGATACTGAATACTTGCTGCAATACACACCACAAGCATTTCTGCAAGCAATTTGAGATATTTTATTGATTTTAATGGGAACAAATTTAGGTATGATACTCTTGGTCAGGAACCCCATATACATAGAATTTGCTTGTCAAATACGTATCACCCTAAACCCCAGGATATTCACTCTCTTCTTCCCCAAACCAAAATGAACACCCTCCCCATATAGTGAAATAAAGCACATAATTTCAACATTTCCTCAACTGAAAGTTTCACGGGACAATTAATTTGTGTCTATCATGAGAATACCCTTGAGTATAGTTTTCATTTCATAATAGCTTTTTTTTTTTTTTTCTGGAAGACTCATACTTCCTATAATAAAAGAATAATTAAGTACTTAGTATGACACTTCAACACTATATTAAAAAGGAAAATTAATTAATTCCTCTGGAATATGTTAGAGCTTTCACCAAAGTTATCTAACTGATTCACAA